CTTTCCTAGCTTTCCTAGCTTTCCTAGCTTCCTAGCTTCCTAGCTTTCCATTTCTCAAAGTAAATCATTCCCCAAATTCTCTCACGACTTGAGTGACCATGATCTGCAAATCCTTTTCTTTTCCTTTTCTTTTCCCTTCTCGGGTCATCAAGTGTGAAGTGTGGTGGGAGAATCCCATTGAAAAGGTTAAAAGAAGATCCTGTACTTTATCTAATAAGTAAATGCTGAAAAAAAAAGAAAAGAAAGTTTATCTCACGACTAAGCAAAGAATATTCCCTGGATAGCTTTGATAATCTTGAAATACATACGGTAAATTGCACAATATTTTATCATACAGAAGTCAAGTTCGTAACAGAATTTGGCAAGCCAGGCTACGTCTGGTCTTTTAGCTCCTAGATTTTTCTCCTCTTTTAGCTCCAGAGCCCGGGTCAACTTATTTTTAGAAACATGTTTTTCTCGGCTGCTAGATTGTTCCCAACTACACTTTTAATACCAAAAAATACTAGATTTCAAGGGTTATCATTTGACACCATCTAGCACACTGTAGCATAAAGCAGCACAGAGAACGGGACGCTCAAAGTACGCGACTGTACGCCCGTCATTATGGCGTTCTATTAGAGCACAGTATTCCGACTAGATTGCGAATTTTGGGGTGAAACTAGTAAATTTTACTAGATTTAACAAAATCTGAGACTCGGGCTCTGAACAGGAACTGGACAGGACAGGTCCGGGACAGGTTAGATCGGAGTCAGGCCAGGCCCAGACAGGTCCAGGTCAGGCCAGGCCCAGACAGGTTCAGGTCAGGCCAGGCCCAGACAGGTCCGAGTCAGGCCAGGCCCAGACAGTTCCGAGTCAGGCCAGGCCCAGACAGGTCCAGGTCAGGCCAGGCCCAAACAGGTCCAGGTCAGGCCAGGCCCAGACAGGTCCGAGTCAGGCCAGGTCAGGTCCGGATAGCCCCAGAACCAGGATAGGACAGAACCAGACCTAGAGCTGCGGTAACTAGAGTTGAACACGTCGGTTCTTTTATGGGCTGGGAATTCAAAACATGGTCGGCGCCGGGATTCGAACCAGCCACCTCTCGCTTACCGGCCGAACGCTCGAACACTCGACAATGAGCTACATCGACATGTATCCTATTGCGGCTAGAATAGGGCCTTACCTTAGGGTCAGATTTGAATATGGCAGGACAAGTCCAAATCCAGGTCTAGAGTCCGGGCAGATCCAAAAGGGGGATCAGGCCCAAGACTCGGCTCAGTTTAGGCCAAGTCCAGGTTAGGTTAGAGCCAAATTCAGGCTATCTCTAGGCCAGATTCAGGCTATCTCTAGGCCAGACTCAGGCTATCTCCAAGCCTGTGTTTTACTGTCATCATCAAAGTTAGAAAAATCACCCCTAAAACTGTCTATGCTCTCTTCCGGCCATTTCCCTTTTGTACATCGATGAGGCGGATCGAATGGATCTTTTTCATCCCCATTTCCCCAAATACTCTCACAATATTTGCATATCTTTCCACACTTTTTCTCCAATTTCAATTGCGAAAAATTTTGGATCGTATTTTGCTTTTCTTTCCTTTTTTTTCGCTTTATTTGTCAATCAAAAACGGCACGCGCCACGCGACACCAAAATTTTGTGTCCATTTTTGCCTCGTTTCTTGCTTTGTTTGTCATTTTTGAATCAATTTTTCGATCAATCTTTAATCTTCAAAGCAAATTGAGTAATTAAAACGACATCTAAGCACCAGATATGCCAGATCCTTCGCGTTTCAGCTTCTTTTACGTTTCATTCACTCAAAGTTCACTTAAAGAACAAGCAATCGGCTTAAACGCAGCTCCTTTAGCAACCTTTAGCCACCGTTTCCTTGTCTTTGATCTTTCAACTAACCAATTTACTCAGAAATCTTTAAATTCAGCTTTCTATAGTCAAAAAAACAACTGTGTGAATCGATAAAGCTAAGATTTTTCGAAAGAATAAACATTGAGGAGCTTTTAAAGTCCGTTTTTCATGAATCATCTCATCTTTGAGATCTAAAAAGGACAAAAATGACGAATCGATTCTGAAATCTTTTTGATAAACAACTTTTATTTGGTGATGTTTCAGAGGTTTTCAAGTTGATAAAGCTTTTTGGATCGCTTTTTTGCTAGCTTTTTTAATAGCCAATACTCAAGCTTATTTTTATGCAGTACTAACTCCTTTTGTAAACGAAAATCGTCTAGCAAATCGTCTGGCAAATCGTTTAGCAAATCGTCTAGCAAATCGTCTAGCAAATCGTCTAGCAAATCATCTAGCAAATCATCTAGCAAATCGTCTAGCAAATCGTCTAGCAAATCGTCTGGCAAATCATCTAGCAAAGCATCTACCAAATCATCTAGCAAATCATCTAGCAAATCATCTGGCAAATCGTCTAGCAAATCGTCTGGCAAATCATCTAGCAAAGCATCTACCAAATCATCTAGCAAATCATCTGGCAAATCGTCTAGCAAATCGTCTGGCAAATCATCTAGCAAATCGCCTAGCAAATCATCTAGCAAATCGTTTAGGAGTTCGTTTCGCAAAGCATCTAGCAAATCATCTAGCAAATCGTCTAGCAAATCGTCTAGCAAATCATCTAGCAAATCGTCTGGCAAATCATCTAGCAAAGCATCTACCAAATCATCTAGCAAATCATCTAGCAAATCATCTAGCAAACCATTTCTTTCTCGATTCTGGTTTAGTTACTCAAAAACTCAAATCCTTGCTCAAATCTCAAAATCTCCTTGCTTAAATCTCAAAATCTTCTTGCTTAAATCTCTTAAATCTTAAATCTCTTAAACAACAACTCAATCCTTCCTTAAATCTCAATCCAATCAAGCTAATTTTGAAGAAAAACCTCGAAAATTGTAAAAACTGGATCATTGAAGCGGTTCAAGAATTCCGGTGTACTGGATGAATTGCCAGTTGCATTTACGTCTGCTTGCTCGGTTCAATTACGCAATTTGATCGAAAGTGACTCAACAAATTTGTTTGCTAAACTTTTTATGCAAAAAAAACCCAAACCTTTTCACTCTTTTTTGTTTGTAAATGGTAAATTCTCAAGCGCTTTTCCTCGCTGACTGACCTATTCAAACAAAAGAGAAAAATGCCATTTTCAAATCGAAAACTCACCTTTCTTTCGCTGAATTTTAATAATCAAAAGAAAAAAATTTGCATTTTGATTATTTTCGATACTTTGCACGTATAGAATGGCGTGTGTTTTTCAAAAAGCAAAAATTTTTTTGGAAACTTTTCGCACGCTGCAGCGCGCTGTCTAACCCACTAAATAACGATAAATTTCTGAATTTTCTGTAGTAGATCTTCTTTTTAATGTTTTTTAGATAATCTTTTATTAGGTTTGGAAGAAAGTTTGTAGAAATGTTTGTAGAAATGTTTTATAAGGAACCAAATTTACAGAGCTAAGGAACGAAATTCAGAGAGCCGGAACCAAACTTAGAGAGATAAGGAACCAAGCTAGAGAGATAAGGAACCAAACTTAGAGAGCTAAGGAACCAAATTTAGAGAGATAAGGAACCAAACCTAGAGAGATAAGGAACCAAACTTAGAGAGATAAGGAACCAAACCTAGAGAGCTAAGGAACCAAACCTAGAGAGATAAGGAACCAAATTTAGAGAGATAAGGAACCAAACTTAGAGAGATAAGGAACCAAACTTAGAGAGATAAGGAGTTTGGTTCCTTATCTCTCTAAGTTTGGTTCCTTCGCTCTCTAAATTTGGTTCCTTATAAAACATTTCTACAAACTTTCTTCCCAACCTAATTTGTAGAAAAGTTTGCACAGTGATTTCTCCAGAACCAAGCCATCAATTCTTGCCAGATTTCTTTTGATAAACGACTATATTTATAAAAAAAATTAGAGTAGGCTTCAGGTAAAAATAAGAGATTTCTTCAGCTGAAGTGACTTGGCTCAGGCTTAGGCTAAGGCTTAGGCTTAGGCTTAGGCTAAGGCTTAGGCTGGTCATTTAAAAGGGCCTTGAGACAAGTTTTTAATGGGTTAATGGTAAAAACTTACCAAAAGCTGGTCAATTAAAAACTAATCAAGTCACTTTAGCTGAAGAAATCTCTTAGTTTTTTCTCTTCTTTCTCTTCAGCTGAAGAAATATCGGTACTTGTCGGTTATACATCCACAAATAATACACGATAATTTAAGAACATTCCCTAGTGAGTGCCAAAGATGACATTAAAAAAATTATTTTTGAAATATAGCTTCTCTGTAAAAAAATTTTTGGCTAAAAATAGAGATTATAAAACGTAAGGCTTATTGTTGTTAGCTTTACCTCATAAGAAATCGTTTTTCTGATGCGATTTCAGAATGATTTAATGAAGTGATCTGAATTTTTGATGAAGTGATCTGAATTCCAGCTGGAAAGTAATAATTTTACAAAAAATCTCTAAAATTTTGCTGGAAAGCTGTACTCATTTTTACTCGGATAGGTCCAGGTCAGGCCAGGCCCAGACGGGTCCGCGCCAGGCCAGGTTCGAGCCAGGTCAGGTCCGGGTAGACCCAGATTTAATGAAGTGATCTGAATTCCAGCTGGAAAGTAATAATTTTACAAAAAATCTCTAAAATTTTGCTGGAAAGCTGTACTCATTTTTTTTGAGCAATTTTTTAAAGTCAACTTGTAAATAATAGAAGAAAATATCCTTGAATTTGTGGTTTCGTTTTGAAGAAATTTGAGTGAAACTTTTTTGCGCGAACTTTCTTTCCAATCTAATAGATCTATTAGAAAACAGATCGACACTTTCGCGCGTCTGTAACCCCCTTGTCTTTACCGTATTTTTAAATATTAATATTACCATTGTGTAGCCCTTGAAAAGAGCTTTTAGAAAATGTATAACACTAATAGTTTAAACTCAAAGACAATGGAGTTACAGACGCGCGAAAATGACGATCGTTTTTCAAATATCATTATTCCATTGTCCAGAACTGTAAATCTTGCAATTTACCACTTTATTATGCGATTTCCATTTCAGGATGGTGTTCTCGGAAATCACGGGCACACTTTCTTTCCTTCAGCCACAACCCGACGACGATATCGCCGATCGACTGCACTATTACTACACGAGCACGTTTTTGCTCCTGACAGCGGTCAGTTGTTTTTTTGTTAAAATACTTTTTGAGTACCGTACCTACTAGGTTTTTTCTACTATTAGGTTCGCAAGTTATAAACGATCCTTTTTAGGCAACAACTTGTTTATTTCATAGAACGCACAAAAAAAACATTAATCCAAAAGGTATTCTCCATTATCGATAACTTCTTGCCATCTTTGGCGCAATTCCTTGATAGATTCTCAAAAAACGTCCTTCTGAGCGTCCTTCTGAGCGTTCTGAGCGTCCTCCTGAGCATCTGAGCGTCCTTGTGAGCGTCTGACCGTCCTTCTGAGCGTTCTGAGCGTCCTTGTGAGCGTCTGACCGTCCTCCTGAGCATCTGAGGGTCCTCCTGAGCGTTCTGAGCTTCCTCCTGAGCGTTCTGAGCTTCCTCCTGAGCGTTCTGAGCGTCTGAGCGTCCTTCTGAGCGTCTGACCGTCCTCCTGAGCGTTCTGAGCGTCCTCCTGAGCGTTCTGAGCGTCTGAGCGTCCTTCTGAGCGTCTGAGCGTCTTTCTGAGCGTTCTGAGCGTCCTCCTGAGCGTCCTCCTGAGCATCTGAGCGTCCTCCTGAGCGTCTGAGCGTCCTTCTGAGCAAAGTAGAAATCAAGTGCGTTTTTGACTTGTGCATAATCATCGAAAAGTTTTCCATAGAGGAATTGCTTTAACGATTGAAACAAATGGTAATTTGAGGGTGCTAGGTCGGGTAAATAAAGCGCATATGGTAGAAGTTTCCAGCCAAGCTCGTCGTTTTTTGTGAGTGACTTTTTCTGTATGCGATTTTGCGTTCTCTTCCAAAAAACGGACCTTCGACGGATTGATGCCCAATTTCTTCAATGAGTCACTAACTCTCATCAACTGTTTTGAGTAGAGATCAGCATCGATGTTATGCATAGGATTCACCAACTCATAGTACACCAAACCTCTAGAATTCCACCAGCAACGAAGTTTGATAGTTTGCTGAAATAGGTGCCTTTTAGAAAATAAATTAGTCTAAAATAATAACAAATTAGTCTAAAACAAATACTAAAACTAAAATCCTCAACAAATGGTGCTCTTTTAGGTGTTGATTTCGTTAAAAATGTTTGGCGGTCGGCCGATCGAGTGCTGGCTGCCGGCCGAGTATCGCAAAAGTTGGGAAGAGTACACGGGTTTGTTTAATATTACATTTTTAATGTTGCATTTTTAATATTACATTAATATTAAATATTAAATATTTGATTATTAGATCTTAGATTTTCTAGATTATAGAACTTACTATGAATAGATATTGTTTAGAGATGTACTGCTTAGAGATGTACTGTTTAGAGATGTACTGCTTAAAGATGTACTGTTTAGAGATGTACTGTTTAGAGATGTACTGCTTAGAGATGTACTGCTTAAAGATGTACTGTTTAGAGATGTACTGTTTAGAGATGTACTGCTTAGAGATGTACTGCTTAGAGATGTACTGCTTAGAGATGTACTGTTTAGAGATGTACTGCTTAGAGATGTACTGTTTAGAGGTGTACTGCTTAGAGATGTACTGCTTAGAGATGTACTGCTTAGAGATGTAGGGTTTAGAGATGTACTGTTTAGAGATGTACTGCTTAGAGATGTACTGTTTAGAGATGTACGGCTTAGAGATGTACTGCTTAGAGATGTACTGCTTAGAGATGTACTGTTTAGAGGTGTACTGCTTAGAGATGTACTGTTTAGAGATGTACTGTTTAGAGATGTACTGTTTAGAGGTGTACTGCTTAGAGATGTACTGTTTAGAGATGTACTGTTTAGAGATGTACTGTTTAGAGATGTACTGCTTAGAGATGTAGGGTTTAGAGGTGTACTGCTTAGAGATGTACAGCTCAGAGATGTACTGTTTAGAGATGTACTGCTTAAAGATGTATTGCTTAGAGATGTACTGCTTAGAGATGTACTGCTTGGAGATGTACTGCTTGGAGATGTACTGACTTACTGTTTAGAGATGTACTGCTGGGCCCGGAGCACCTACTTCACCCCGTTTCATGAGGAGCTTCCCGAAGCTGATGATCGAGCAAAAGTGAGTGCTAGCTGCTGGATAAACTAATGAAAAATAAACAATTTTTTGAATTTTATAGATCTAGATAAGAATTTTAGAAATTTATTTGCATATTTCCAGAAAATGGTCTCCTATTATCAATGGGTTCCTTTCTATTTCGTTGTCGTTGCTTTCACTTTCTATGCTCCGTGTCTTATTTGGAGGATCATGTACGATAAATCGGGTAAATGAAGTTAAAGGTGGAAAGAACGATCATCAACTATCAACTACACTAAGTTTGAACCTGCTTTTAGTTTTATTTCCCCATAGATCTTGCTTTACAGGTCTCAAGGGCAAAAAACTAAAAGCAGATTCGAACTCAGCTTAGCCGATTCTATAAGGTGAGCGTTTCGAAAGATCACAGCAAGTGCTGCCTTCTATTTATTCTTACAGGACTTCGAGTCCATGCTTGTATGTATGCTTTCGAATTTAGAAAAGTCTATTGTAGCTGATGTTAGCTCAAAAGTTTAGGCATTCGTTTGAAAGACATCATGAGTTTTGCCAACGATAAGAGCAATGTGCGTCCGGGTGAGTGTGGGAATGAGAAAAAGAAGTGAAAGTTGATCTATTTCAGAGTCCCGTCAAGCCAACATCAAGGGTCTTTCGGCTCATTTGTCCTCCGTTTTCAAGCATCGCTTCAAATTTGGAACAGATCATCCATTCCATCACAAGTATGACTCTTTTTAAGTCCTCAAACATCTAATACTTGGCTTAGCAAGAGAGAAATAAGGTTTTTAAGAAATAAGAAATAAGAATCAGAGCTAGCCCTTGCAAGGACAAGAATCAGAGCTAGCCCTTGCAAGGACAAGAATCAGAGCTAGCCCTTGCAAGGACAAGGATCAGAGCTAGCCCTTGCAAGGACAAGGATCAGAGCTAGCCCTTGCAGGGACAAGGATCAGAGCTAGCCCTTGCAAGGACAAGGATCAGTTCAGAGTTGGCCTTCAAGACCAGGCCTGGCTTATCGTAAGGCCTGGCCCAACAACCCTCCTTATCATTTCCAGGATCATGCGTTTCTTCAACTTCCGCTACTACGAGGCTTACCTCACTTTCCTCTACATTGGGATCAAGTTTCTCTATCTGATCAACGTGTTGTTTCAAATGATCTTGATGAATCGTTTCCTCCAGACAGAATCCTATGGGATTTATGGATATGGAGTATGTGGAGTGTTCAAATTGAGTTTCAAGAGCTACAAGAAAAGCAAGACAAGCCTGGACATGTTCAGCTTTATACAAGATTGGGCAAAATTACCTGGACAAGAAACTTCTTTGAATGTTATTTGTCAACCATTCCATAAAACTTTTATAATTCTTTTTCTATAAACTCTTAACTCAAAGAGTTAACTATAAACTCAAAAAAAGTAGTTACACTTTTCTAATCTTAAGACTGTTGTTGTTGTAAATGTTGCTTTTTCTCGAGTTTTTCAAAAGCTAAAAAAAGCGCTGAAAAGGGAGAAAATGAAGCTCCGCATTAGGAAAATGAAGCTCCGCAATTACCCGATGCTTTGTGGTTCGAAAGAAAAGCCGGTCAACAGATTTTTCATTTCAATAATGTCCCAATAGGTTAAAGCATGAATCCATTTATATTATGGAGAAAATTATACAGTTAAATTGGCTAGCTGCAAAGTTAAAACGAAGAACTCTTGTCCGGATAATTTTGCTCAACCCTGTATGCCACAGTTGACATACTACCAATTAGCCTTGCTGTCCGAACGAAATTCTGTCGGATCGGCTCGGATTCGATCCGATAAAGGCTTTTATCGGCTCGGATTGGTCTGATGGATTGGATTGATCTGATGGATTGGATTGGTCTAATGAATCGGGTCATTGGATCGGCTTCGAGGCAATCCGGATTAGATTCATCGGATTGATCTGATGAATCGGATTGATCTGATGGATCGGATTGATCTGATGGATCGGATTGGTCTGATGAATCGGGCCATTGGATCGGCTTCGAGGAAATCCGGATTAGATTCATCGGATTGATCTGATGGATCGGATTGATCTGATGGATCGGATTGATCTGATGGATCGGATTGATCTGATGGATCGGATTGATCTGATGGATCGGATTGATCTGATGGATCGGATTGATCTGATGGATCGGATTGGTCTGATGAATCGGGCCATTGGATCGGCTTCGAGGAAATCCGGATTAGATTCATCGGATTGATCTGATGGATCGGATTGATCTGATGGATCGGATTGATCTGATGGATCGGATTGATCTGATGGATCGGATTGATCTGATGGATCGGATTGATCTGATGGATCGGATTGATCTGATGGATCGGATTGGTCTGATGAATCGGGCCATTGGATCGGCTTCGAGGCAATCCGGATTAGATTCATCGGATTGGTCTAATGGATCGGATTGGTCTGATGAATCGGGCCATTGGATCGGCTTCGAGGCAATCCGGATTAGATTCATCGGATTGATCTGATGGATCGGATTGATCTGATGAATCGGGTCATTGGATCGGCTTCGAGGCAATCCGGATTCGGTTCATCGTATCACAACTCTACTATCAACACTACAGTTGACATTTCAGGTGGTTTGGGATCTGATCCATGGTCGCGAGTGGACCGAGTCGACGAATTTCCCCGTGGTCACCTATTGTGATATGCAGATAAGGATTCTCGGAAATGTGCAGCGACACACCGTGCAATGCGTCCTCATCATCAATATTTTCACGGAAAAGGTAAACCACTGTAAACATTCTACCGTAAACATTCTAATTCTCTTCTATTTTTCAACGTCCCTTTCTTTTTCTTTTTGTGCCTAGCTACAGTCTATCGAACTTTTCAAGAGCTCTTGAAAAGTTCAGTACCAAACATAGATGTTTGGCTCTTTCCCTGAATTGTGGTCTTTTGAATGTTTGTGAAGCTGGCCCTTGACATACAGCCAAGACAGACATCCTTGCCAACTTGACGATATCCTTTTGAGACCATGAGGAATTCTGTGCGATGTTGCGGACCGCGGAAGTGGCAGCGGCACAAACGAGAGGCTTTCTCTTTGTGAGTGCATGATTGCCGAGATGTTTCCAGCCATCGAGTTACAAGATGCGCATCTTTTATTGGCCCGATGTTTGATCTTCCTTAGTGCCTCTTCAACTTGAGCCCATAGAGGTAGAAAGACATCGTTTTCGGCTTCAACGTCCATCTCGTCATCAGTGTTTGCATTATTGTCGATAGTTTCTTTTTGGTGGTGACGGCGATTGGTGGTGGCTCGGCGCTTGTTCGCCCGACTAGCTGACCGTCTCAACTCAGCAAAGCACGAATCATCACAGGTTTCTGCGTCTGTCAGGGCTTCTTTTTTGACAAAAGACCACGAAACTTTTAAAAGACCACGATTCAAGGGAAGAGCTGGATGTTTTTGTTGGATTTTCATCCGGTTTTCGACGTCATTAAGCTTTTTTTATTCTATAACTATTATTTAAAGGGGTACTCCGGTCATCAAAGTTATTTTCTTGAACCACGACTATTTAAATACGAATCAACGCGTTTCAGTCTCCTCTACAAGGATTGCATAAAGAAAAACCATGAAAACACTAAAAAAACCCGGAAAAACTATGAAAAACTGTCAAAAAATGCGTTTGGGAGTCTGAAATAGAATATGATGGAACCTTTATATACCAAAATTAATTCTACTGTAGTTTTCGTTTAGACTACGGTAATAATTCCTTGCCTTTTAAAATTACGTTTAAAAGGGCTCTTCTAATAGAGAGAACTCTTGAATTTGAATAAAAATAGTTCAGACGATATTTCAGCTTCCAATCTAAACTAAATTCTTTTAGATTTTCATCTTGCTATGGATGTGGTACACTTTATTGGCGATGATGACGCTGGGGAGCATTTTGTCGTGGATCTTCACCTCGATACCATTACAAGTTTGATTATTGATCGTTTTTGGAAATGAAATCTTTAGGAACGACGTAAATTCGTCGCTCGTCGCCTCGAGTTGGCCGATGTGAACTTCAAAAAAGCTGATTTCAATATGGAATTGGATGAGGTTATCAAAAAAAAAATTGAAATTTTCGACCAAAATCCGGCATTTTGAATGAGTGGCGAAGCTTTGATTGTCTATAACTTTGCTTAGAGATAATATTATGGTTAGTTTTTTAGATCGTTAAAACGAGGACGTTTCAGGCTTTCAAATTATACCAAATACAGTTTGATTGGATAATCCAGTCTCATAAAAACCAAGAAATACTGCATCCGAGTTGGATCGGCTTTGTTTGCCTAGTGTTGGCTTGAATTTTCTTGAACTGGATTATCGAATCAAACTTTATTTGGTATCATTCGAAAGCCTGAAATGTCCTCTATTCAATGATATAAAAAGTTAACAATAATATTATTTCTGGGCAAAGTTATAGACAATCAAAGCTTGGCGAATCAGTGCTCGACTCAATGCTGTATCGTTTGCCATTAAAGCTTAAACTCTTTACTTAAAACCTTACAGTTCGTGAACGATTATATAAAAATGGATGGGATTTTCGTCCTTCGCATGATCACCATTCATTCGGGGATTTTAATTTGCACTGAAGTCGTCGACTTGATGTGGGATCAATTCCTCGAGGAGCAAGGTAGGAAAAATAAGAAAAACTCTGAACTAACACAGCTTTTTTATCAAAAAAAAACGCTTCAGGCCACAGCATTATTGAGCAGCTAATCAAAGAAAGCGGTAAAAAAAAGAATATCTGGAAATTTTTGTGAACTCTTCTCTATAGTGCTATGGCTTGGCTGAAAGAACTAACTCTCACCACCCAGCGGCTGTTTTTCACGCACTTTTTTTAAGCATATCACAAGTGGACTGTTAGCACTGTTTTAGCACTGTTAACACTGTTTTAGCACTGCTAACACATTCGTATTTCGGCCAATTTATGTGTATCGTTGTGAGTTTCCAGTTTTGAATGCGCGTTTTTACTATTTTGTAAATTTCTCAAGATATCGAACAGATGTATATGAGTGTTATATATCATTCGAAAGCTGAACATCTCCTCTACATTTTGATATAAAAAGCTTTGGAATTTGTTCAGCTTTTGGGCAAATTGACTGCACAAAGGGAGAGGTCGTTTTCCAAAAAAAACCATTTCAGCTTCGCTATTCCTCAAGTTTTATGGTGTAAAACAACCGCCCAGAAAAGAAAAGAAAAGAAAAGATGCTCTGAAATTGTTATATTTTAAAAAATCTTATATTGATATATCTATTGGCCAAACATCAAACGGTTAGCTCAATTTGAGCGGAGCCAAAACTTGATCCAAAGGCACCCTTCCATTTTTTGGCCACCTCTTCTTCTGTGCAGTCAATTTGCCCAAAAGCTGAACAAATTCAAAAACTTTTTATATCAAAATGTAGAGGAGATCTTCAGCTTTCGAATAATACTCATATATATCTTTTTCTTGATTTCAGTATCTTGAGAAATTTACAGAATAGTAAAAAACGCGCATTTATAACTGGACAACCCAATAATTCTTCTCACAATTATGATGACAAAATATCAACAAAAATCTATTAACCATATTTTGTCAAAAGAAATAGTCTTGAAGAAATGTCTTGAACAAATGTCTTAAGCAAATGTCTTAAACTCTAATGCCTTTAAAGTCTTCTCCTCTAAGCTCTAAAGCCTTTAAAGCCTTCTTCTCTAAGCTCTAAAGCCTTTAAAGCCTTCTCCTCTAAGCTCTAAAGCCTTTAAAGCCTTCTTCTCTAAGCTCTAAAGCCTTTAAAGCCTTCTCCTCTAAGCCCTAAAGCCTTTAAAGCCTTCTTCTCTAAGCTCTAAAGCCTTTAAAGCCTTCTTCTCTAAGCTCTAAAGCCTTTAAAGCCTTCTTCTCTCTAAGCTCTAAAGCCTTTAAAGCCTTCTCCTCTAAGCTCTAAAGCCTTTAAAGTCTTCAAATGTCTTGAAACAATTCTAACGGAAGAGATTCTTTGGATCAAGTTCGATCGTTCTGATGTTCTGATGGTTGTGAGCCTACTCAATATCAAACCATTTTTCATCCGTGAATCCTGCACTGTTTTCAGAAGTGTCAAGGATCTTCCTGTGTCGGCTAGCAATAAATCACCATAAAAGTCGTTTGCAACGTTCTAAACGTTTTCTTTTCATTGAATCTCCTAAAAAAATGTCCTTTTATCCCTTTTCTGGCTTTCATTCCAGCTGTTTTGAGGATTCGATGAACCGAACTTTTACAAATATCAATGACTTGGCCATTTTCCGAACAGAATCTTTTGAGGAGCTTGCGGTTCCTTTTAAATCGATCAAAAATCTTTTGACGATTTGTTGAATTGTTGGCAGTCTTTGGTAGACCTCGTCCTTTACGATCTAATTGGATTCCGTTTCTTTGAAACGCTTCAGAGCGCGAAAAACATTCTGTCTCTTTTTCTGCAAGATGCAAGATCTCTGCGAGTGTTTTTCCTTGCTGATGAAGAATAATAATGGCTGTACGCAGCTCTTTCTTTCACTTCATACCTAAAAAAACAATCAAATCATCGAATTAAGAAGAAGAATAGACAAAAGCAGTAAAATGTAGTAAGATTCGGTTTGTGGGACATCCTGTAGTCCGTCATTCTCTACGAGCTTTTGCCATTGATCAGCCATCGATCAGCATCGATCATCGATCGAATCTGCTCGAAGTACAAAGCCGGCTCCTTTGAATCAAAGAACTCTTGATACGCTTCTTCAATTTCTTGTCTTCAAGATCAAAATCATGGTCATTTGAACCACTCGCTTGCAGCAGTTTTGCCAAAAATTCCTTCGCTTTCCACCTCACAAATCACTTCAGCTGATCTCGCAGACAGACCTCAACCAAACTATTGAGCGTTCTTTCATTGAGAAATCCAATTTCAATTAATCATCTGCTTCGAGGAGAGTCTTCGAGAAGAGACGATTGATTGAATCAAACAATTTGAAGATTCTTTGATTCAATCAATCGTCTGACGCTTTGGCTGAGGTTTCAGCAAAATGAGGGAGAATCTGTTTTAAGTTGATCAAAAATCTTTCAACGATTTGTTGAATTGTTGGCAGTCTTTGGTACATCTCGTCCTTTACGATCTAATTGGATTCCGTTTCTTTGAAACGCTTCAGAGCGCGAAAAACATTCTGTCTCTTTTTCTGCAAGATGCAAGATCTCTGCGAGTGTTTTTCCTTGCTCTGAAGAATAATAATGACTGGACGCAGCTCTTTCTTTCACTTCATACCTAAAAAACAACCAAATCATCGAATTAAGAAGAAGAAAAGACAAAAAGCAGTAAAATGTAGTCAGATGCGCCTCGCCATAATTGTGAGACACTATGCAGAAGTCTCTGTTAGAAAGATAGTATCTGTGCAGGATGCTTAATCTGCACAAGCTAGGCCCAGAGATCTTTCAACCCTAGGTCAAGGGCCAGGAAATGAAAGATCAGACAGATCCTGGTGTGGCTCTGTTGGTTCCAATACGGTTTCAATACGGTTTCTATTTTGATCTAATACGGTTCCAATACGGTTCTGGCTTTGTTGCTTACGAAGATCCATAATTCGCCAGAAATCAGTAGGGCTTGGTTGGCCTAGGCTATAGAGGGTTGCACTATCATCTAGTCAAAATTCAGAAGCCAGGCCACGATCGCTGGCTTTAAAATCTTGATTTATAATGGTATAGCATTGCTATTTCACAGATGACTGTTAGCAATATCTGTGAAATAGCAATTCTAATAAAATAGAAATCAATATAGGAAGAATAAGGCAACGGAGAATAAGGCAACGAAGAATAAGACAACAATTGTAAATGAGCAACGATGAGTCTGAAGATTACGCGTCGCTCCAGTTGACATTAGCCAAAGGAAATCAATATAGGAAGAATAAGGCAACAATTGAAAATGAGCAACGATTAGTCTGACGACTACGTGTCGCTCCAGTTGACGCTAGCCAAAGGCAAAATAGAAAATAATTTTAAGAATCTCTTCTCAACATTTGCTAAAGTGTATGCATGACTTTTGAATAAATATTCTTACAGCTTTTCAGAGTTTCGTTCAAAAAGGAAGACTCTTGGCGGGAGCTCGCCGCGCACCAAATACGTGACTCTAAAACAAATTGGTAATTGGTAATTGGTAAACAAATTGGTATTCCTGAGAAAGTTTGGGATTTTTAGAAGTTTTCGAGTGCATTTTTGTGCTTTTTTTGTGCTTTTTTTTTGCATGTGGGTGCACTGATATGGATTACGCTAGAAAAGCGAAAAGATGATCTTTCAGGAAAACACGCTGAACATGGACAGGGATTGGACAGAGAAAGGGCACCGTCGGCGATGAGTGATGTGAGTTTAGCAGGATAATAATAAATTATAGTTTAGAAATAGATAATTGAGCTTACTTACATAATAAAGAAGCTATAAAAGCTTAAAAAAAGAAGAATAAGATCAAAAAGATTACCGTAATCGATGAAGTGTTTTGGTAAACGATCTGTGGGTGTACTGTAGCTGGTAGCTGTGTAGCTGGTAGCTGTGTAGCTGGTAGCTGTGTAGCTGTGTAGCTGTGTAGCTGTGTAGCTGGTAGCTGTGTAGCTGGTAGCTGTGTAGCTGGAGCTGGTAGAGCTGGGAATTTTCTGTGTCAACGACAATAGGTGTCCAACGGAAGCAGCAATCGATAGAAAATCAAATTCTGCGTCAATTGATATTAAAATCAACAAGATCGGAATGAAATTGGCCGAGATATGTCGGTTTTTCGTTGCACGCCTTTTGGCGCTCACATCGCAAATTCAGTACAAAGGACATCCAGTAGACACAGTACACAGTACATCTAGTGACACAGTACAAAGGACATAGTACAAAGGACACAGTACAAAGGACATAGTACAAAGGACACAGTACAAAGGACACAGTGCAATAAGTAACAAGGAGACAAGTAAACGTCAGCGTTCTAGCACACCAAAAGTAAAGCTAAAGTACCGCTTCAGTTACCCAATCACTTTATTCCGCTTTCAATTCGATTCAATTACCCCATCGATCAATAGACTGTATTCATTTGTCTTACTGTTGTCTTACTGTTGTCTTACTGTTGTCTTACTGTAGTCTACTGTTGTCTTACTGTATTCATTACAAGGTAGTCTTTCTTCTCACCCTTATCTTTCCTTCTTTCTCTTGGGAACTTAAGCTCAGCTCCGAATAGCTCAGTGGTTAGAGCAATTGTCTGGAAAGCAATTGTCTGGAAAGCCTGTTAAGCAATTGTCAAGTCGAGGGTTCGATCCCCTCTTCAGAAATCGACTTTTTCTTGCAAACTCCTTGACTTCTTTATTACTGTATTCAGATTGGCGCACTTCGGCGAAAAACGAGCGTCTTGGTGCCACTCGTTTCCCGTGAGGATCTCACGCATCTCGAGCATCCCTATTTGCGTCCGCCGAGTCGTATGAGGGATTTATCTCCAACGTGATTAGAAAAACCAAAAGTACAGAAAAAGTACAGTAATTTCCGACAAAAAGGTCTCAATTGGCATTACCGTAATCCTAAATTCTTTGATTTTTACAAATTTTATTTGTTATTCAGTTTACTTTAACAATTTTTACTTTAAAAATTTCTAAATTTCATTTGTTTTCTATTTTTTTGATTTCTATGTATTAATTGTTTGATTTATGTTTGATTTATGCTTTCTTCTATGATTCTAACTAGTCAAATCATTGCTTTTTTATTGCTTAGCTTGTGCAAGGGATTACTGTAGCTCTAGACGTAGACCTTGAGCTGGATACCTTACAGCTTACAGTAGCTTTGACGAGTGCACTACCGTAGTAAACGATTTTCGATTGCCGATTGCGATTTTCGATCGAAATTTTGCCACAAAAACTCACTTCATTTGGGAGTGGGACAAATGCGACCTTTTTTTTGCGCACCTGGACATTTGAGCACCTTTTTTTGCTGGAAAAGGCCTTAGGAAAGGTCTTAGAGCTTCAAAAATGTTTTCACGTAAGGGAATCGTATGCGTAGATTCCGAATTTCGACAAATCACACCTCGCTGACACGTCAAATTTGGGCTAAAAGGCAAAAACTGCGGAAAAGCGTTAAGTTGCGTAGTTTTTGCCTTTTAGCCCAAATTTGACGTGTCAGCGAGGTCTGATTTGTCGAAATTCGGAATCTACGCATACGATTCCCTTATGTGGAAATATTTTCGAAGCTCTACGACCTTGCCTAAAGCCTTTTCCAGCAAAAAAAAAGGTGCGCAAATGTCCAGGTGCGCAAAAAAAGGTCGCATTTGTCCCACTCCCCTTCATTTTACCCATTTTGTGCCTTTTTTCTCCGATTAAATTGTGCTCAAATCCCGAAAGATTTCAGGAAATGAAAATAAAACTTTATCTTTATTTTGATTGATAGAAAAGTCTCACAAAAGATCTTAGAACTTAAAATTTGTTTTTAAAGCTTAAAATTTGATTTTAAAGCTTAAAACTTGATCTTAAAGCTTCAAATTTGATTTTAGAGCTTCAAATTTGATTTTAGAGCTTAAAATTCGATTTTAGAGCTTAAAATTTCGATTTCAAAGCCTAAAATTTGATTTTAAAGCTTAAAATTTGATAATTTCTCTTTTTACACAAAGAAAAATCCTTCAAAACAAAAGAAAATCTCATAAAAAACATTGGAAAAAAAGCTCGATTTGGTGTTTTTTTTTGTGAGGAAAACGCAAAAACAAAAAGACAATTTTCAAGTAAAAATAAACAAAAATAGACAAAAATAGAACCAAATTGGAGTCCACCATTGGCAATTACACAGTGGGGGGAAAAAGGTGGGGGAAAATGGGAAAAATGGGAAAAATTTGGTGAATTTGAACGAGTTTAAAGCTTAAAAACCTTGTAAAATGTTCGAAAATGGGAAAACTTTTCAATTCACATTGTACTTGTGAAGTGAGGAGGTGCCCTCATTGTAGTAATCATCGTTTTCCTGCAAGAAAAATGGGTAATTGAATTTTAGGGAAAGGTTTTTGGTGTGCTAGAAGGCTGGCGTTTATCGCTATCGTAAGTAAAACTGGACATTATCGATTTGGAACTATTGTACTAGCAGAGATTGAGTACTGTAGCCAGCTACAGTACCCAATCTCTGCTAGTACGATACCTACCTAGGCTGCAGTACCCAAGCTCTACTAGTACGATACCTAACTAGGCTACAGTACTCATTCTCTGCTAGTACAATACCCAACTAGGCTACAGTACCCAATCTCTGCTAGTACGATACCTAGCTAGGCTACAGTACTCATTCTCTGCTAGTACAATACCCAACTAGGCTACAGTACCCAAGCTCTGCTAGTACGATACCTAGCTAGGCTACAGTACTCATTCTCTGCTAGTACAATACCCAACTAGGCTACAGTACTCATTCTCTGCTAGTACGATACCCAGCTAGGCTACAGTACCCATTCTCTGCTAGTACGATACCTAACTAGGCTACAGTACCCAAGCTCTGCTAGTACGATACTTAGCTAGGCTACAGTACCCAAGCTCTGCTAGTACGATACCTCGGTGATTTGCGAAGCTGTGAACGAGTGTACGTCGGGTTCATTCAGACGATCATCGGTGACGGAAAGTTGCACGATTTCCTGGAAAGAATTCGATTGCACTTTTTCTATTAGGCTGTCCAGAAGGAATAAAATGTCCATAAACTAGAAAGAACACACTAGAATGAACACACAAAACCCTTGCCTTGCTCGAATTGACTCTACAAATCTAAAGTACAAAAGCTGCAGTGCAAGAACCAAGTTACAATTGCTGAATCACAAACTTGCTGAATCTATAGCTTTTTAGGGGTCCTGCACACAAATATCCCAGCTTTAAATGCAAATTGAAATTTTTTTGTATGTATTAGGTTGGGTTTATAGACTTAAAAAGATTAAAAATATAAGAAATTGAACAAGAAAACACTTTGTCTTGGTGATTTTGAGTTGATTCAACTTTTACATCTTACGTTATAGACCATTTAAGTGGTAGGTCTTCAGGTAGGTCGTCTGACTTTGAGTGAAATTTTCTCTATGTTTTTACACTAGTGTAGACTAAATAAATTGTGGTTTTCTATAACGAAATTTCATAAGGAACATTTTAAAAGCAACCACAAGTCGATTTGACAATTAGAAGTCGAGATATGGAGGAAAAGAGAGAAGTGGTCAAACTCCGCCTCTCTAGAGATTTGTCTAGGGGGGTAGACACCTCTCTTGACTTTGACCTTAATTTTCTCTATGTTTTTATCGGTAAGTTTACAAAACAGATTCTAGATTTCTTGAGTCAAATTTAATGTAGATTCTAATAAAAGAAACCCTGAGTTGATTGGGTTTCTAGACCTGGAGTTTTGGATCATTTAATTGGATCGACTCTTCCAAGTAAATAGTCAAACTTTGACCTTAATTTTCTCTATTTTTTTATCGGTAAGTTTACAAAACAGATTCTAGATTTCTTGAGTCAAATTTAATGTAGATTCTAATAAAAGAAACCCTGAGTTGATTGGGTTTCTAGACCTGGAGTTTTGGATCATTTAATTGGATCGACTCTTCTAAGTGGATAGTCAACAAGTTACAATTGCTGAATCACAAACGATAGCTTTTTAGGGGTTCTGCACACAAATATCCCAGCTTTAAATGCAAATTGAAAGTTTTATATGTATTAGGTTGGGTTTATAGACTTAAAAAGATTAAAAAGATAAGAAATTGAACAAGAAAACACTTTTTTTAGAGAAAACCATAGGTGAATTGATAAATTTGTGATTTTATAACAAAAATACGAAAAGGAATGAAAAGATTTTCTCGATAGCCTTAATAACAAAGTGTACACAATCAAATCAGACAAGTTCATAAAGCACTTTACGTTAAAAAGTCAAATTCCTACTTCTTCCCCATCGGGCTCCGGAATCGCGTACGAGTTGGCGACAGCGCCGAGCTCTTTCCTCACCTCATCCTCAACAGCTGCAATAAGATCGAGCTGAAAGATTTGAGTTGAGTTTGGATGTCTTGATGTAATGTCTTGATGTAACTCTACTCACCTCCGATAGAGCGGCTTTCTCTCTGGGACTTCGGGGTGATGATGGATGAGTTGAGTCGGCCGGTGAAACCTTTCCTTGCCATGGTGCACAAAAGCCGACTGCTGGTGAAGGGAGGACTGGATTCTGAAAGATAATGTCTGTCATTGTCTGTCATCTGTCAAAGTTTGGTTTCAGTACTACACTCTGACGAGGGAATGGTACTAGGTCACCTTCTAAATGACTTGGCTCTTCTAAATGAGAGTCAACAATGACTTGGCTCTTCTAAATAAGAGCCTATTCGATGCAGTTTTTTACGCTGGTTTCGAATCCGGCTTTAGTTTTTGCAGAACGCATCGGAAACCCAAGATATTTGGCTATTTGGCAAACAAGTTTTAGCTATACCCATTCTTATGGAAGTCTTCAACAATGGTCGTAGTATAATGTAATAGTACTGTCTACGAAACCTATCAAAAATCTTTTGACGCGAGTTCGAATCCGAATTCCTTATTGTTACCAGCCTTTCAAGCCAACCAACGGTCAATTTTAACGGCCGGATGCGTTGGGGCTTTAAAGCATTAAAATAAATAATATAATCAGTGTCAGTAACAAAGTAAATAACATAGTCAATGTCAGTAACAAAGTAAATAACATAGTCAGTGTCAGTAACAAAGTAAATAACATAGTCAGTGTCGAACATAGTCAGTCCATTTCGGCTTGTAAAAAATATAAATTAAAAAATAGATAGATATTGAAAATTTTAAAATTGAAAATTGAAAATCTGAAAAAATCTTTGCTGCCAGGAGTTGAACCCGAGCTCTTTACTTCTTAGAGACAGGCTCGCTAACAATTCGGCTGCAATTCAATGCGGCTATGCCGTCCTATGATTAGCTTTCAAGGCGGGCGAGCTAATGACTGCTGGCGCCGCAAAAAGGATCGTGTTTCGCCGTTTCACCGTTCAAAAAGGATCGATTCTGACTTCTTCTTCGAATTTCTAAGTGCACGAGTTTAGAAAAAACGGCTAAGCCAAATAAAAAGTGCTAGAACAAAGTCTTGTATTGTTGAAGACTTCCATAAGATCCCTTAAATGGGTATAGCTAAAACTTGTTTGCCAAATATCTTGGGTTTCCGATGCGTTCTGCAAAAAGTAAAACTGAATTCGAAACCAGCGTAAAAAACTTTTCCACCAGGCCCAATTAGAAGAGCCAAGTCATTTAGAAGGTGAGTCTAGACTAGGTCTAGTAGCATTCCCTCGTGAAGTCTAATCGGAGATTACGGTAACTGTTCTCTGTATCTATTTGACCCACCGCGATCAACCGATCCACAGCGTTCGTGCTACGCTGAAGGAGCCGCTGCTCGGACACTTTTACCACAGTCTAGACTCACTTATAAAGAATCGAAAGAAGCGACAGTTATGTAAAGGTTCTCATAAGTTATTGGTGTGGTAAATCTTGAGCTTTGGAGTGTACTGTACTGTACTGTACTGTACTGTACTTTGTGCTCAAAACTTGCAAACACATCCTTTCTGGGGTAGAATCTCGTGTGATAGCTATCTCCACTCACCTCTTTCATCGCCATCCATCGCTTATCGCTTTCCTCTTTGCTGAGTGCGGGGTGTTGATTGGGCATCTGAAATTTGAGTTTTAATCTCTTTCGATTGATCCAAGCTGGATTACAGTACCTTTTCCTAGCTTTAAAGGTCCTAAAGGTGCTAAGGAAAGCTATCTTATCTGGCTACCGTAGTCCAGCTTATCACCTTCTACATTTCTTCACCAACTATTCCTACCTCCCCATCGATAAACGGCAATTGGGCATATGTGGAGCCATTCGAGCGGTTGTTCTTTCTAAATAAGAGGTTTAAAAGCTTACATTCACCAACTAACCCTTTCTTATTGTCCTTCTTCCTTTTCTCTTTCAGCTGAAAATGAAATTTGCATAGAAACTTGAAAATTTCGTTACCTTGTAGTTGGCGGAAGCTGTACGGTAGCGATACAAAGCCACGCAGAGAATCAAAATGAAACAAAAGGCCAACAAGCTGAAGATGACGCCCATAAGGCTAGAAATGAATAGGTTACGATAGCCAGGATTGGATAATTGGCCATCTAAATTGGGGATCTAGATTGGGCATCTAAATTGGGGATCTAAATTGGGCATCTAAATTCACCATCTAAATTGGGCATCTAAATTGGGCATCTAAAAGGATAATTAGCCAGGATCATCTTGAATCTGGGCCATCTAATGGGCCACCTAAATGTAAGAGCAAGATCAAGGCCTTGGCCCTTCGCTTCAACCAGTATCCGGTCAGACTAATTGTCAGGATTTGACCCTGAGCAGAACCCTGAGTCAGGCTAGTACCTCGATCTTGCCTTTGCCCCAAAAACTTAGCCAGCCAGAAGCCAGGATGACCTAGTTAATATGATGACTTGCCACTGGCCTAAAGAACTAGAAACCCCGGCCTTGATAACTTGCCCGACCAGGACCAGGACCAGGACCAGGACCCAAACCCTGACCTGGTCCTGACTTAATTAAATTTGAAAAACGAATTCGATTTTGAATCACTTACAGATATTGGTTCTTCTTAAGTCTTCCTTGAGCCGGTGTCTCGGTCGAATTCATTACTACGGGCTAAAATTCGAGCGATAAAAAGCAATGGATCATTGAGAGTTAAAAATGATGAAAGTTAAAAAGATCAGAGTTGAAAGAAGAGATAAAAGAACCAAGAATTAAAAATTGAATCTGGGTTACGGTACTCAGAAATCTGGTTTACAGTAATCTTCAAAGCAAAGCTCGCACCATAAAAAGCGGATCTGGAGTGATTGAGAGATCCGTAATCAAAGTGGATGGAAGGGGAGTGGAAGAAGAAGCTGATGATGTAGAAAGAGTAAAAGGATGAGTGAAAGAATTGGATTGGGAAGTGACCTCGGTGTGGAGAGAGTCCTGTCGATCGAAGAGAAAAATGAGGAAATCATCTGGCAGAGAAGAAGACTTGTTTCGGGCATTCCACTCTTCGGTCAAACCTGAGATTTTTCTAGAATAACTAAGTATTTCTAGAATAACTACTTCTTACTAAATTCAGTTCCTTATCTCTCTAAATTCGGTTCCTTATCCCTAAATTCGGCATTTCTAGAATGACTAAGCATTTCTAGAATAACCAAGCAATGTCTGATCCTCAACGCGTTTTCTAGAAGGCTTACCAAATTACCGTTAAATTCTTATTGTTAGGATGACATATACCGTATTTTCCCCTAAGAGTAGTGCAATCTTTAATAGTATTGCAGTCCTGAAGGGATTTGAAAAAATAGTAATGACAAAATTTGTCCTTCGGCGAAATTTGTAGTTTGAACTGTGGCAATTTGTACTTACCGAAATGTGTTTTAGCCTATTGACTGAATATTTTTAATTTCTTTGTACTTTCGTGCATAAATTTCTCAAAGCAATTTAATTGATTCTGTTAGATTACAACTCTGGGACAGTGCTGTCTCAAAATCGATTTAACAATTCTTGTTCTTTCCTTTTTGCAGAAAACTCACGATGTGCCCACTGTGCGATCTTCCGATTGCAATTCGTTTGCGTGCATCGGCACATCAACTCCTGGAATTTCGTTTTGATTAGCTTTTGATTAGCTTTTGATTAGCTTTTGATTAGCTTTTGATTAGCTTTTGATTTGTTTTAATTAGAATAATTTTGATTAGTTAGTTTTGTTTCATTAAAAACGATGAACATAGTCAATTCTAGTACAGCAAAGAGCTTTTCATGATAAATTTTATAAATTTTGAACCGTTTTCCCATCGGGATATTTCTTCAAGCTGCACGGATCCCTCTTGAACTCGTGGCCATTGAAATCCTTGTACAGATCACCACAAGAAAGGGCCACGTGTTTTGGAGTATCGGGAGCTGCAAATATTTTGGCTCTTTGCTGTAATTTGGGCATTTTGCTAATTAAGCCTTGATATCTTTATTATTAGGTTGATGCATAAGTGTTTTTGTTCCTTTTCGTCTGCCGTTTCAAGCCAACAAATGCACCAATTAAACTACGGTTGATTTCATTAGAAAAACCAATTATTTTTCTGCAAAATAACATTAAAACGGGTTTAAAAATATTTTATGCCTGGATTTTCTTGAGAGTATGAAGTCGGGTAGTCAAAAAGGGCTAACTCGATGTTTAGTATGGTCAAAGTTGTGCGGTTTAGACACCTTAGCTAAAGAAAACCTATCTTCGTGTCAATAGATAAAAGATAGAGAAAAAAAACGTTTGATATTTCGCCAAAATTTCAGAGAAATTCATTCAGCCAATTTTTCCGTAGAGTTTTTTATAGATTTTTACGAAAAAGGCGTTTTTCACTCTCGAATTTGCTTGAAAGTGAACCGAAATTCATTTAAAAAGATGCAAATTGAACAAAAAAACACTTTTTTTATAGAGCAAACTATAGATTAATTGGTGAATTTGTTACTTTTTAACAGAAGTACGAAAAAAACGAAAAGACTTATGCATCAACCTATTATTTTAGATTTTACATGTACACTTTGAAAAAGAGATTAAGAGAAAATATTTGGTTAAAAATAAAAGCACTTCTGTTTATAAAGAAAACAAAGAAAGGGGCAATAACCTGTAAGTAATCAAGCAATCTAACTATTAGGTTGTCCAGTTATAAATGCGCGTTTTTGAGGGCTTATTTCAAATATTTCTGCAAGTCCACGTGTAGTTTGTCGAGGATCAATTTCGATCGCCTATTTAACTACTGCATTATCGATCGTAGGAGGCCGGTGGTCCTCATCTCCCAAAAAATTCATTTCCTTCTCGAAATCGTTGAAACCATCGCCGACACCGGCTTTCCGAAATAGCATCTTCCAAAATACTTTCCAAAGGTCTCGATGAGATTCAGCGGTATTTTTGCCCAATTTGAAGTCATACCAAAGACTGGCACAGAGACGAAACTTTGTATCGTTCACAGAATTTAAATTTAAACACAAAATTAAATCAAAAATTGGTTTGACGTCAAAAACACGAAAAGTTGTAATAAAATAAGAAATCCTGAACAGCATATAGAAAATTGGGTTTGATAAAATTGTATAGCTCTAAGGAATGCTGTTCATGTTGTTCAAGGGCAAGCGTGCATTCATAACTGGACAACCTAATAGTAACTAGTAGACTACTTGATTACTTACAGTTCAAACGATTGAATAAACGAGGCTTATTTCATTCAAGAGACTTTGAAAAAGACAATCAGCTGCGTGGGCTGTAAGTAATCAAGTAATCTAACTGGCAAGTAATCAAGTAATCATTTCAGATACTTTGTGGATCCCACAGATCACTCTGTACAGACTCAAGGAGTCGAGACTACTTAGTTGAGACTACTTAGTCGAGACTAAAAGCTCTATTAAACATTGATTCTCACTCCAATCAAGATTCTCTTCCATCTTACATGTTTGACCACATGTTTAGAAGAGCCCAGGGGGCTTAGAAATAGGAAAATTCCACGAGTGTTTTCTGCTTTTGCGAGCTTTTCCTTCAACAAAACCATTTGAGTGTTGAGTGCTGGAATTTGTTGTTCCAGCATAGTTGTTTGTTGTTGAAGGCCAGGCTTTGCGGGTCGTTGATTTGTGGAATGTCGGCAAGCAATCTCGAGAGTTCGTTATCGAGTTGTTTTGCCGAATCATCGCAAACGGCTTCATCCTCGATCTCAGCATGAAGCTCGGTTAGCAAATCATCGTAGTGTGCTGCTGTTTGATCGACGTCAGCATCGAGGAAACGCACATTTACGTAGGCACTCTCCAACGGATCGAGCAGTTTGAAAAGTCTTTGCATCTCATGGACAGCATCCTTCAGACTTCAGATATCTTTCGAGGTTCTCTTCTTTGGCACGCTTGGCATCCTCCAAGTCACCGCGAACATTCCACCTTCGTTTTCTTGACCGATTCTTAACCGATTCTTGGCCTTTTCTTGACCGAAATCTTGGTCGATTCTTAGCCGATTCTTGACCGCTTCTTGGCCGAACTCTTGACCGATTCTTGGCCGAATTCTTGACCGATTCTTGGCTGATTCTTGACCTGACTTGACCTGACTTGACTCTGAAATTTTGTCTACAGATAGAAATCGACATTTCCAATTTGGTAGACAAAATTTCAGAGCAATCGGTTAAGAAACGGCCGAGAAAACGAATGTGGAATTAGGTTCGGCTTGGAATTTTTCTCATCTCTAATATGAAGCTCAGTTAGTTGCGGTAACAACCGCTACAATACCGCTACTAATCAAGATTACAGTGATCAGTCAGTTAAACAGTAAACCCTACCATTCTTCGGATCGTAATTGCTTGGGGCCCGAATGGCATAGGTGCAGGCTTGGAGGCATCGATGTCTGAAAAGGGATTTAAATTTAAAGATACTGACATTGCTACTGGACAGTTGACCCAATAGCCGCATGCCAAACGGCATGCGTTTAAGCGTTGTGCGTTTACGACTAAACCAACCTCGAGCCAGTGGTTTGCGTGCGGAGATCCGGGCATTGCGAGATGTTCTTTTTGTTCATGTCAAAGATCTGGCTTGGCTTAGCGTAAAAGTGCTGAAAATGATGTGATATTGAATGAATGCTGAATACGATGTTATAGTTTTCTCACAGTATTCTCACAGTACTCGGTACAGTACTAAATTCTCGTAAAATTCACCAGTTTGCCATTTGTAGTCTCATCCCAATACTGTGGATCGTGACAGGTGTTGCACACATACGTGTTATCGGGACTGAAAGTTGAAAATGAATCCTCTAAAGTCCCGTAAGCTTTCCGTTTTTGGGCTAAGCTGTAAAATGCTAAGCTGTAAAAGGCTAAGCTGTAAATAGAGCCTAATTAGGGTGGATTTTGAGTTTACCTGAGTGTAGAGCCTGCGCTTGTAGCCCAAAAACCGCTCGCCAACAGCGTCACGACTAGAAGACTCATTCGACACTTGGAAGTCTGGTAAATGAACCGGATTCTATAGAAAACCGAATTAGTAAATGAACTTCTGGTAAGTAAATGGACTTCTGGTAAGTAAATGAACTTCTGGTAAGTAAATGAACTTCTTCTAGAATATAAATTCAAGATTAGAATTGACTTTTGATTTTAATTTGTTTACAGAATCGAATTTCACGGGACAAAGAGCTGAGTCATAGAAATTTGAAAACAAGGCAGATGTCTTTTGAAACAGCCTTTGGCCACACTTTGAAATTGGCATATGGATAAGAAAAAGAGCCAAAAAGAGCCAAAGAGCTTTTAAGCCAAAAAGAGTTTCAAAGGATTATCAAAAAGTGTGGTATAAGGCCCTATCCTTGCGGTAAGGCGACAGGCGTCGTTGTAACTCATTGGTGTAGCGTCCGCTCGGTAAGCGAGAGGTGGCGGGTTCGAATCCCAGCCCCGACGATGTTTTGTTTTCTCAGCCAAAAGACACCAATTATAATTCCGGTAGTTTGTCTGTAATTGGTGTCTTTTAGACATCAATTACAGACAAACTACCGTAATCGCACCAGATCAGCCTAATTCCGGTCAAATTCGATGAGGGAATCACAAGGCATCAGTCAATGATACCAAAATTGAGCTGATCCATCAAATGGCCAGCATTTCCAACTACAATTGGTTTTAGTTATCGTGCTGATCGAATGGAAATGCTCAGTTCGAAGGCTCAGTTTTTGAGAAGTGATGTGTTACGCAATGGAAAATGAAAGGGAAATTAGATCGTATTTCACTTGCCAATTAAGCAATCAAATCAGGCCAAAGACAAATTAGTGTCTAAAAGACACCAATTACAGACAAACTACCGTAATCGCGCCAGATCAACCTAATTTTGATCAAATTCGATGAGGGAACCACAAGGCCCAGTCAATGATACCAAAATTGAGTTGATCTAAATGTAAACTGGCGGTCAGGTTACGGTAGTTTATCTGGAATTGGTGTCTTTTAGGAAATGGGATGTTTTAAAGCAATTTTTGGGCCAGATCTGCCTTCTGATTGGCTTGGATTTGGTCAGAACAGCCTAAACGTCTGAAAGTCTAAAAGCTTGTTGTCTAAAAGCTTAATGTCCAAAAGCTTAATGTCTAAAAGTCTAAAAGCTTTATTTCTAAAAGCAGAATCCTTAAGATTAGAATCTCAAAAATTGAAAGCGATTCAAAGTCAATACAAATAAGGAAATCTTTGAAATCAATGGCTTTTTGGGGAAACATTTGGCCGATCCTTTTGAGAAATGAATCAAATGGCAAAAAAAAAGAAGGAAAATCAGAAGAAAAGAAGAAAATAAGGAAAATAAGGACATTTGCCAAAAGAACTATCGCCAGCTGCGATCGGGTATGATTGCTGAAAAAGGAAGTGAGAAAAAATGTCAAAAATAAATACAATAGTGAATAATTGGGTATTTGAACCGTATTTGGTAATTGAAAAGGCTGTTTTGGTGTACCAGAAGGCCTTTACATGTCCTTTACATGTCTCCCGTAACGAGTTTTTGCATTAAAAGGCCAATGGCAGGTCAATTACTGATTCATATCAATGTCTCCCTTGTTCTTTGGATGTAATTTGTTCTCAAATGTAAATGCAACCTTTCTGGCGCTCTGACTTCTTCGTTTTTCTCACAGCAACGCTTTGATGTCGCCAGAAAAATAGAGGATTGAGTGCACCAGAAAGAACGTGCTTACAAAAGACAAAAGTATTTGAATTTCAAAAGATATTAAGTTTCAAAGGATATTAGGTTTTAAAAGATATTAAGTTTCAAAAGATATTCAGTTTCAAAAGATATTCAGTCAACAAGTTTTTGCATCAAAAGGCTAATGGCAGGTCAATTACCGATTGATATCAATGAGGTTGGGGTCCTGTGGTTATGCAATTGTATGGAAAAGCGAACAAACAAAAGAATCGGCGTACTTTTGAACTAAATAAGAAAGGAAAAGCTTTTAATCAATGGCTTGCCAACTTTCAAGCACTTTGCCAAAAATGGAAGATCGATTGTTGTTGTTGTTTGTTGTTGTTGTTTGTTGTTGTTGTTTGTTGTTGTTGTTTGTTGTTGTTGTTTGTTGTTGTTGTTTGTTGTTGTTGTTTGTTGTTGTTGTTTGTTGTTGGCCACCTTTGCCATTGTCTAAATAATCTTTTTCTTTAGATATGGATCTCGATGGAAACTCGTTTGATGGATTCGAGAATTTTCGAGCTCGTCGTGAACACGAGGAACATGTGCAATTCTTCAAGAGGATCCCCAATCAAGTGACCGAGCAAGATGCTAGCTACAATTATAATAAAACGTAATGTTTTATAAAATAAAAACATAGGGTTACCGTAAAAAAATTTTGTTTAAGACCCGGCCGCGATCTGCACCCCACCCCTTTAAATTTATAGAAGTAAATGCCAATAGCCAATAGAATTGTCTTAACTTTTGCGGCGCTAAATTTTCTTGTTATCAAAGCTCAATCTTAGAAAATAATCCATCGTGTTCGATTTTAATATTATATAACTTTTGTTGGTCACCTTTACTACTGTCTAAATAATCTTTTTCTTTAGATATGGATCTCGATGGAAACTCGTTTGATGGATTCGAGATTTTTCGAGCTCGTCGTGAACATGAGGAACATGTGCAATTCTTCAAGAGGATCCACAATCAAGTGACCGAGCAAGATGCTAGCTACAACATGGCCAACGATGTTGCCGAGGAGTCTTCGTGTGAATCGGATGCACCATCCGCGAAAAAGCGACGATGTTTCGAAGTTCAAACAAAGCTGAAAGCGATCGATTTTGCTAAAAAAAATGAAGGATAAGTTGGCTGCAGCGCGAGCGAAAATTCGGAGTCAGTCATCAAAATATTCAACAATGACGCCAGCAAAAGGAAGAACTCGAGAAACAAAGCAAAGAGAGTGAAAAAAATTTGAAACGAATCAAAGACGGTGGACGAAAGCTCAAGGATGTCGATTTCGACAAGGATCTTGTTGCTTGGATCCAAGAAACGCGGGCAAAGAAGATGCAAGTGATACGAAAGATGATTCAATGCCAAGCGGAGTTAATGTGGAAAGGTGACGAGTAATTTTCGCCATCAGAGGAATGGCTAAATTTATTGATGTCAAGACACGAATTGTCAATGTGATGACACGAATTTGTCCGGCCCACAACTGTGTGCCAGAAGGAGTCAAAGGAGTACGTGAAAGCAATAATCGAGTACATCCTCTACATGGAGAAGCTGTGCAAAAAGAACAATTACGTATCGATTTTTGCGTGCGATGAGACGAATTTTCTTGGATCAGTCGAACAGTTTGACTATTGCCGACAAAGAATCCAAAGAGGTGATAATTCTTTCAACGGGTCACGATAAGATGAGAATCATCGTGATGTTAGCAGCCCGTGATGATAGCTTCAAGTGTAAGCCCTTTATGTTATTGAATCGAGTTAGACCGCATCCTAAAGTCATTGCAAAGTTCCACAACAAGCTGGAGCTACCCGTGCGTGCTCAACTTTGGAAGGCTATATAAAAATGTTGAATGGTTGAATCGATTAGATAATGGGCACCGCTTCAGGAGACATACTTAAGATTTACCTCCAGAAAAATCAGAACAATTGACCCAATTTTGTTCAATCTAGACCCTCAGAAGTGAGTCGCTATAATTCGCGATCGCCCTGTATCTAAGTGAGTTCAAGGAATTTGAATTCTTGCAATTTTTCGAATGAAAAAGATTTAGCTTTTATCTTCTTCTAAAAAAAAGTCGATTCTCTTGAAAATGGATCTCCGAGGGATATTTTGAAAACAAAAATAATTGAAAGAGAGATTTTTGATTGGAAAAATTCTCGGAGATAAAAGGGTTCAAAGGGGATTTTTGCCGGTGTGCTAGAAAGCTGGCGTTTAGACAAAGAGAATGCTTATAAAAAGTTCTGACTCATCTTACTCTTGATACGAAACTTTTTAGTAGCTTTAATAGGTCTTTGAAGTGTCCTTTGTACTCAAACTATGGAACACGCGCTTTCTGGCGCACCGCTGAGTGCACCAGAACGTGAATGTTTGCACTAGAGCGTGAATGTTTGCACCAGAACGTGAATGTTTGCGCCAGATCGCTTGTGTGTTTGAGCACAAAGTACACTGTTTGGTATGGCTAGAATTGGTGCATTGATTCATGAAGTTAGCCGGGTTTTTGAGCACTTTGATGATCGAGATCGCTTGTGTTCTTTGAACTGAACTTGCTCTTTGATTTTGTGCGTCAAAAAGTAAATTCCAGCGTTCTGGCACACTAAAACTTAGCTAAAGAGCCGGTTCAATTACCCAATTCCTAAAATAGACTCGAAATTAACTAAGAAAATGAAAAACTGCACTAATCTATTTGCAAAATTTGCTTTTGTAAATTTCTAGACACCGAAAAAGCTACTGTAATCAAAGCTACTGTAATCAAATGCGACTTTAATCAGGTTGTAAATGCAAAAACCTATCAAAAACAAACAAAATCCAGATATTTTTAACGAAATGCAAAAAATTTTTTGCTTCAAATGTGAGAGGGAAAGATCTCTTGCACTGATTACGAAAATAAAACGAAAAAAAGAAAAAAAAGAAGGATTCGATTTTTTCGAGAGAAAAATATTAGTTGCTGTGTTAAAGTGGCAAGAATTTTAATCAGGAAATTAAGAATAGGGAAAAATAAAGAATTATCGGGCAAAGTAAAGGCAAAGTAAAGGCAAAGTAAAGGCAAAGTACAGGCAAAGTAAAGGCAAAGTAAAGGCAAAGTAAAGGCAAAGTAAAGGCAAAGTAAAGGTAAAGTTTATCAAAAACTGTTCTTTGGAGTGAACTTTGTGCTCAAATTTGTAAACTTATCCTTTTGTGTATTCGATCTGGATTGAGATTCTGATATTCTCCCAGTTTGGCTGCTGTTTAAGTAACAAAATGGCTTAACGAGATGTGGAATTTCTAGCAAAAGTGCAGCCAAAATGCAGCCAGCCAGAAAAAAAAGAAACCCTTAGTTTTACTTCTTCTTACTTCTTCAATTACTTCTTTAAAGGAACAACTTCAGTTGGATCAATAAATGCGAGAGCCATTATCGATTGGATTTGCGTTTTCCCGAACGGTGTCTAAACAAGGCTGTGGAGTCCGAATTTCGAATTCGAAAAGGGAAACCTCCTATGCCAGGGCGGTTTGCCAGATCGCGAGCTATTTCGCGAGCTATTTCGCGAGCTATTTCGCGAGCTATTTCGCGAGCTATTTCGCGAGCTATTTCGCGAGCTATTTCGCGAGCTATTTCGCGAGCTATTTCGCGAGCTATTTCGCGAGCTATTTCGCGAGCTATTTCGCGAGCTATTTCGCGAGCTATTTCGCGAGCTATTTCGCGAGCTATTACGCGCACAAAGAACGCACGAAGAACGCACGAAGAACACCTTTTTGTGCAAAGAACAAAGAACCCAAGTCATTTAATCAATGGAGCACTTATCTCTAAACAGATTTTCTAAAAAGTGCCCAAAAACTTTCTTGACAGTTTAATGAAGTACTATAGCTTATTTGGATCAATACTTTTACACGTTGTCAATACTTATACAATAAAAAAGCATCCAAAATCATTGACAATGAGTAGGAAAAGTTATCGTAGAATAAAATGTGTTAGTAGTGACCCTCATATCCATATCCATTTGTTTATCCAAATCGATGTCATTCTTTTTTCTGCCAAGTACCCCAAGCGGCTCCTTTTTTTTGATGTTTTTGGCCAGATGTCCATAAACATTTTCGTTTCGATTTGTTTATCTTTTGATGATCTGCGGTGGATGGTGATTCATTTTTCGGGTCATTTCGATGGTATTTCATAAAGATTCGATGATGAAGTGTTGAACTTTAGTGAATCAATGTCACAAGTCGTTTGGAAGGATTTATGTTATTGATCAGAAATTGGGAACAAAAAAAGGCATATACAGAATTATTATGGTGGCAATTATGGTGACAAAATAAAAGTCTATCGACCTTATTTTGTCAAAACAAATAGTAACAACTGTTTTTATTCAACTGTAAAGCTTTAAAAAAACATTTAGAATTCAAAATAGCCACCATTAGTACATTTTAGCGCTTTGGGAAATCATCCATAGCTTTTTCAATGGTGCTGATAGAGATTTCGTTCCATGCCTTGATTAAATCTCGTTTCAAGGAGTCAATTGATTTGTGGGCTTTAGCAAATGCTTTGCTTTCAAACAAATGTCTTGCTTGTCTTTCGACCATATTGAGTAATCTAAGGGATTGAGATCGGGCGAGTTTGATGGCCATTCGCCTGGGCGTTGTTGATCGATGTCCACGGTGATACAATCTGGGAAGTTGTTGGAGATCCAATTTTGTGTATCAACAGCCTTATGAGATGGAGCACCGTCTTGTAAAAAGCAATGGAGCAAAAACCCAATCATTATTGGCACCAAAGTCAGACTTCATACCTAAAAAACAATCAAATCATCGAATTAAGAAGAAAAGACAGAAAGCAGTTAAAAGTAGTAAGATGCGCGTCACCATAATTGTGGGACACCATGTAGAAGTCTCTGTTAGAAAGATAGTACCTGTGCAAGATGCTTAACCTGCACAAGCTAGGCCCAAAGGTCTTTCAACCCTAGGTCAAGGCAATGAAAGATCAGACAGAAAGACAGAAAGACAGAAAGCAGTTAAAAGTATTAAGATGCGCTTCACCATAATTGTAGGACACCCTGTATAGATTTGTATAGTACTTTGCGTTTTCTAAAAGCCACCTATTGTAGACAAACTATCGTAATCTGGCCGCCATTTTCCATTCAATCAGCCCAATTTTAGTATCATTCGATTAAGGAATCGCAAGGCTCAGTCAATGATTTCAAACTTGGGCTGATCGAATGGTCGAATACTTTAATTTGTAAGCACAGTACTTGTCGACGGGCAGACTACGGTAGTTTGGTCTTTTAGAAAACGGGTTAGCCGAGAGGGACTAAGTCTAAGAAGTGAATACACTACGGTAATCCCTAGTCAATCTTTCTTCCGCGCTAAAGCCAGAAAGACTACGGTAAAATATCTATTCAAGACCCAAGTATTGTAACACGAAAGGCTACCGTAATCCTAGGCAAATCAGGACTACGATAGCCCCATCTAAGGCTCAGGGTAATCAAATTAGCGACTTATCTAACAGAGAAAAGGATTCTGTCTAAATTTGTATTGTTAAATTAACATTTAAACATAAATTTGTTGCAATTTCCTTCAAATTTACATTTAACGGTCAAATATAATGAAATGAAACCTCGAGAAATGCTCATTCATTTCTTCTCGACCTCTCGCAATGTCTGCCGACACTTCTGCTCATCCGCAAGGCGCTTCACTCTACGAAGAAACGAATGTGATGACCGATGCTGCATCAGCTCCACCAGCTCTACCACCCGTCGCCGCACAACCAACTGTCGGCACCCCAAACAAAGCCGCACGTGAGTTTGTTTCTAAAGTTTACCATTGTTTTGTGGTTCTTTGCACCACCATTTCTGGGTAATAACAGGGTGAAAAGAAAAAACCCGTCCTTACATTTTAACCTCAAACTCTATGCGCCAAGACAAAAATGGCCTATGAACATAATAAATAGACAGTCTTAGGAGCTTAATCATGAAAATTTGTTTATCTAGGTCGATCCTACTTTTTTCGCTTAGGTCTATGAACCTATGAACATAATAAGTAGATACCATTAGAAACTTAATCGTGAAAATTTATTTCTCTAGGTCGATCCTGCTTTTTACAGGCAATAAAAGTAAGCGCGTAGGTAATACCTGCTCAGGCCGCTCCTTTTTTTTCAAGAAAAGTCTCTCGTTCTCTCTCCAAATTTCCATAAGCCATTTTTGTCTAGGCGCATTATCTTGAGTTTTAGGTTAAAATGTAAGGACGGGTTGTTTCTTGTCACCCTGTATACATGTTAGTAGTGCCATATTCGTTCCTGGGACTGTCCCGATTGGCATTTTGCCTATATTTTCTCAAAATTTCATTAAAATCTCGCTATTTTCGATCTAATTCGACGCATCTTTCAACAATCTATTGGATGATATCAAAAATAGCCAAATTTGATTAATTCTTTTAAGGATAGAGCCTTTAGGGCGGGGTCTCAGGGTCCCGGGTGTCATGGTCGTTGATTTTTGTGTTAAAACTTAGGCTTCTATACCCCATTAACTCATTTATATGTTAATTTTTCTGCTTTAGAAGCCTACTCAGATCACGCTGAGTCGGTGGTGAGCCTTGCGCACAAGTATCGCGCCGAATTCGAGGAAACATTCGATGGACTTCGACAACGGGCAATTAAGCTTCAGGTATTGTGTTTGTACATGTTATTTTTAAGGTTCTATTAGCTTTCTCATTGAATTTTCTCTAGGAACAAGCCCCGCAACTCATCAGTCAAATGCAAGCCAACATTGAGCCGTACAAGCAGGATTTCCTCAACACCGTGCAAGCATTCGGCGATGTGGCCACCCCTGCACTCACCGTTCTCGAGGTGCTTTATATTGTAGTATTAGTTAGTGTGTTTACAATGCTTTCATTTATCTATTTCAATACAATTTACCTTCTTTAGACCCTTTCGTGGAGTGCCGTGCTCGTCTTGGCATCAAACGTCACTTCCTACGTGTCAGCCTATCTGTATGCCCCAATTCTCTCATTGGCTCTCGGTGAATGCGGCGCTTTGGGCCTGGCTTTGACTGCAGTTCCCGTTTATGCCTATTGGACAATTCAAAAGGTTTGTTTGTTCAGTGATTCTTGTGTTGATCCGTTTTCGGTACTAATTAACTTCGGGGAGCTACTTTGGACTGACTTGACTTGGTCAGACCCTATGCTAAGCGTGTTTTTTCTAGTCTTGTTTTGCATTTTCTGGGGTAAGCAAACACGCTTAATCGATTTGACGATATTTTTAGAATATTTTGAACAAGTTATCACTTTGTATTTTGCCCCTCTCTTCATTTTTAAGCTTAACAACAGAAACAACAACAGTGGCAAATCTCCAGCTAGCTTATCAAAATATCAATAAAATTGTTCAACTTTCTAAAAATATTATCAATAGATTGCATCATGCTTGATTACCTCAGAAAAAATAAAATAACGTTGGTAAAACGGTCAAAAAATACAATCTGACCAAATCGGGTCAAAATGGCCCCCCGAAGCTTATTAGTACCCCGTTTTCTTTAGTATTTGGCTGCAAGTGCGAAAGATGTGACAATACGTTTCCATCTACTCGCCGTGGCACTGCTTGAGGGTCTACTTGTCGGATTCATTCAGCAGGTTGAAGTCGTTATTGCGTTAAACTTGTCTTTTAGAACTCCTACCTTTCGGGCGCTCCACTGGGCGATCTTCTGCTCGCAATCACCGCTTTCGTCTATGCATTTGCTGCTGAGAAATTCGGAAACAAACGCCAAGTAGATTTTTTGTGTAATTGTCCGATAATCTGTATATTTTTAGATGTTATTGTCGCAAGCATTGGGTGCCTCGATTGGTGTGACGCTTTTACTGGGTTTCCTCACCGCACAGTTCACGTTGCCCTATTTGCTGCTCACTCTTCTCTACGGAGCAATCACCGGTGTCGTTCTGCAATACGTTTTCAAGAATGTCACGTCCAGCTCGGTATGGGTTTTTCTCTTTTTAATTTTATGCTTGTCAGACTTATTAAATGGATAAAAATGGATAAGGATTCTTTTGAAAGCCCGAAACTTGGGATTCTAGAGTTTAAATTGCAGTTTTTAGATGTTTTTATTCTTTGATAAGCCTGTTTTGATATTTATTCATCTAATTGATGCCTATTTGTTCGATTTTTCTTATTCCAGGTACCCACCTACAACTACCAATTGGCCCTTCTCACCGCTTTCACCGCCGCCAACATTGCCACCCATTTGGTCTTTGGAATGGCCGGAAACGAATACTCCCGATACAAGAAGAGCCGATGAAAACAAATTGGGTGAATTTTAAGCACTTTTTATAGCTCTTACATTATATTCAATTCTTATCGTCTTATTTTTGTCTGTTTAGTGCCCGCAAAGTCTCTTCTTGCACAACTCATCTTATTCTCTGCAAATCGACCCAAAACATCGAACACATGATTACGTTTTTCGAGCATTTGCAAAAATAAAAAGCTATGTGGATTTTTAAAATGTGCATCAGATTTATGGATTGATCGAGATTTGATCGGAACTTTGGCAATATTTCTTGCTGGGATCATATATTGTGAAACACGCTAACAAGTCCAATTATTGAACTGAATGAATTGAACAGCTCTTGATGGATTAGGACCCAGAATGGAGCGATAGGTAAATTTTATCGTTTTGCTTGCTGAGATGGATCGACTTTCATTGTTCCAAACACGGAAAGTTGTTAGTTTTGTTAGTTTTTCTAACTGATAGCTTGTCAAATTTTCGTTTTTTTAGCTGCTATCGGATGCTCAAGATCTTTATCGTGCTCACCTTTTTGTGGGGTATTTGGATGGTTTTGCTTGGCTGGTTGGGGATATTTCTGATTCGTTTATGGTATTTTTTTTTCATGTGTTTTATCGAAATATACTAGTCACTGATGTATTCTACGAAATTTTTGGTCATAGACGTTAAATTTCATGAAATTTGTAAGCTTAAAGTTTGTCTTTGCAATGAAAAAAGGCTTGTGTTTAGAAAAGCTTTCAACGTCTAAGCCAATTTGTTGCTTTTCAATAAACTTAACGTAGCTTTAATCCATCATTTCTTCGCCACTCTTTCATTTTTCTCAATTGGTCCCCGTCTCGAGCGGAAAGCCAAGCAGAAACGTGCTGGACGTCGTCGCAAAGTGATAATGCACACGCGGAACGACAAGCGAAGAAAAAGTCACAACTGAACGGTAGTAAAGTTTGCAAGGCGCCCCCGAATTTAATCTCGATTTCTCATCTGAAAACTGTTGTCGAAGCAAAGCTGTGCATTATCTCCGCAGTTATCTGTTGCTTAGACTTTGTGTAAGACCTAAAAAAGTCTTGCTTTCAGCGTCTACCAGTCAGGCCACTTTTTAATCGGTTATTTTTAGGCTGCTCCTAATCTGGCCAGCATACCTACCAGAATAAAAAGAGCGTCTCTTGAAGCCTCCAATCGATGTCAGTAGAACGGAATTGATTCAACGACGATATTTTGGTCTTCGCGAACATTTGCATTTAAAGCACCAATAAATATGTATAGGCATTCGAAATGATGCTTTAGAATCACACTTTTAGAGATCTCAATAAAGTCTGTAAATTTCTCTTGTAAACTATAAATCTGAAATAACAATTTATCAATACATCAAACAATTCTCAAATAAAACATAGATCACGCTATACCAAATTAAATTTCTCCAATAAAACTCAGACCAATAACGATCTAACAAAGATGAAATTTAAAAAGAACAACCAATATAACTTTTAAACGCAGATTTCATCGGATGATCACTCTTCAGGAGCCGCGGCGAGTTCTCCAAAGACAGTTTCCGGCACTTCACGAATCTCTGAAAGTTTAAATGATCATAGAGTATTTTTAAACTTCTTGACGGTCAGCGGGCTTCCAATTGCAAGTAAATGAATTCGAAACTAACCAGGTTCATCTTCTGACTCATCATCATCATCATCGTCATCATCGACCGCGATTTCTTCTGGGTTGTGTGTTGTTGAGGCAACGTGTACCTAAATAAAAGTTTTATTTAAATAATAAATCAACAAGGACAAGCAAATCCAAAACGTATAACCAACCTTGCTTTCTCCTCGTACAAATTGAACCGTTCCAGTTCCATGCAAATCGGAGGCCATCTAAAATGTATTATTATGAAAGTTTCTATCGAAATGATGTACCTCTCTTGCCTTCTTATCCAACAACTCAAATGTTCCCATTTCGCCTTTCTAAAAGATTTGCAATTTACAAGTTTAAATTCCAAAAACAAACCTGAGTCCCAGCGACCGCCATTGCTTGAGCAGCAATGGCTGTGTCTTGTACATCGTAGGCGGTCATGATCGAACGCTTGATCCTCATCAATTCTCTCATCTGAAAAAAGGAAATGAATCAAATCCTATTTTAAATCCTTACCGTGTCCTCATTGCCGTGTTTGAGCTCGAATTCACGCCATTGATCCCAGAATTGACTGTACACCTAAAGAAAATGCACATGTTTGAATAAATAAAAATTACTAACCCTTGGATCGCAAACTTCGGCGCAATGTGTGTAGATGGCACGAGCTCGATCGATTTCACCCAAAGCTCTTTCCATGTTAGCATAGCGCACTGAGAATTCTCTAAAATTACATTTTGATGAATGCCATTTGCACCACAAATGTTTATGCGATAAATATTCTCATTCTCATCACAGCTCAACAAGCACTAACCGGCTCTTCTTCTCGGGTAGCATCTCGATGGCTCGCTCGTAGATTGGACGTGTTGATGTAACTCCGTAAATATCCGTCGCCTTTTTCAAGTAGATATTGAACATCTGAAAAGCAACACAGGTACTTCAAAGGATTGATCAACTTTTATGCACTGACTTTAACTTCTCGCTAAAAACGAACCGCCGCCTTGTCTTCTTTGTCGACAGCTTCACACGCTCTGTTATAGATACCCATCGCGTGCCTTGCCAGACCATATTCCTCTTCCAATTTAGCGTACAATAAGAAGACATCTAGAAATTATCATTTTTAAATTTGAAAACTTTTAAACCGACTCTTTGAACAATTAGCCGGACAACTTTCCAAACATTCCTCGAAAAGATCCCGAGCACGCTCAATTTTCTTCTCACCCTAAAAACGATTTCTCAATGATGTATTAACGAATTTTAAAAAGTGTATTATCCTAAAAACTCACATAGCGTTTCATAAATTTCACCAAATACACATTCCAGATATCTTTGACATGAGGCCAGCGGAACATTGTGACGGCTCGAGAGTAGACCTAAAGCCAGTTAAATTTATTTTTTTCGCATAAAGTTCAAACCTGAAAAGCGTTCTCGAAATACTCGTGTTCTTCCAAAAACTTTGCATAGTTGATGACGATTTGTGGAGTGGGAATGCCGAGATCCAAGATCCTCGAGTAAACTTCTTTTGTTTGAGTGAACTGAATTCAAATAGGTAGATATTAGGTATAAAAAAGATGGTTACAGTTCCAATCGACTCCGTTAAATCCACATAAAACGTCCATAAACGTAAACTTTTGTACACACGATTCTAAATGCTTTTGATGAGATTTTAGTTTTTTTATTAGCTCTACCTGCACGGGTTCATTTTCGTCAAAGAAGTCGGGTCTTGATGGCGGTTGGGCGCAAGCTCGTCGAAGAACCGCGAATGCAGCATTAACATCCCTAAATATTAGGGCTGATAATATAGTAGTTAATTTAAAATTGAGGTTTCCTTGCAGCAATGATAACCAACTTTTTCCTCAACTGTAGCTCGGCATATTCACACCAAACATTGGCCAACTCGTCGACTTTTCGAAGCGGAACTTTGACGGCAATTTCGAAGATTCGACAAGCCTAGAATCATAAATTCATGGGCAAGTGACCTAAAAAACAAACATCAGCAAGTTGCCCATGTGTTTCATAGAATTTGGCGAAAGCTATCCATACATCGCTCAACCGACCAATTTGCTTCTTGGCATCAATTCGCTTGACCGCCGCTTGGAATGTCTCAAGTTGCTGAAATGAGCAAGATACATAAAATAACAGTCGACAAAAGCACACCTTATAAAATCATGATCAAAAAATTTTAAAGTATATTGGCTTAAATTTAAAACCTTATGCGTTGCATCTTTATGGCCCTCATACAATTGCACTCGATTTAGCCATTCGTGGGTATTATGTGGATTTTGCCGAAGCATCACACTGTTCACAAGCAATGGGCGTCGAGAAAGAAGATGCTCGTATCTAAATTTTCTTGACTGGTAAGCTACCAAAAATAAATTGAGCCGTACTATTTTAAACCTCAAATCTTATCTCACACGAAAGAGAAACCCTTCTTTTACGTCAAAACAACAAAAAAAATACCTTTCCATCATCCAAAAGAGCTCGTTCCACTCTTCTTCTGAAGCGCCCTTTTCCTCGAGATTAGTTGAATAACTTTTGATTTGACTGTCCTAAAAGGAAAATTCTTAATACAGCTAAATCCCACAAATTTACCTCAAGAGCCGTGTAGGCATTGAAAATTTGGGCAAAATCGCGAACGGTCGTCACTTTCTCCATTCCCTCTTCATAGATATCACGAGCCTAAGTTGCAATAATATTTATGGTAAAAATAACTTTTAAAGATACCCTTTCGAATTGACCCTGGCGAACAAAACTCGCAGCTAATGCACACCACAGAGAAGCCACCTGAAGGAAAATTTTTGCATTGCAAAAATTATAAAGAAACCTGATCAGAATACCGGAAAATCCCATTACGAATCACATCTTCGACATCAAACGACCGAATTTTATTTGGATGCTGAAAAGGAAGCTTTATCAATAAACAAGTTTTAAAAAACCTCTGAAATTATGTTGCACAAATCGGCCCAAAGTTGGTGAACGGTTTTGCCCTGCTCGGTGAATGCACGATCCTCTTGAATCAAAGCGGTTATCTGTAAAGTTGTTTTATTTTTGCTTGTTTGGCGGTAAGGTAATCAGATAGACAAGTCGGTAAAATTCAAGTTTATGGGATTTTCTCAAAACAGTGTTTTTCTTTATCTAAAAGCTGGTACTAAGGAAGTTGGGGGCCACTTTTTCTGGGGTAGTTTTATGCGTAGATTCCGAAAAACACAACGAGAGCTTGGGAAAAAGGAGTTTTAAGCCGAGTTTCGGGGCTTCAAATTGCGTGATACAGTGTGATGAGAGGGATACACATAGGGAAGAGGTCTGAAAATGGTATCTTAAAACATTTTTTGAAGCCAAAAACACTTTAAAAAAACATTGGCATAACCTACTGATTACGTTTATGATCAAATTGAAGCAAAATAAAAACAAAATTTTTCCAAATTCTGATCATGTGGTCCCCCACATGAGTCAAAATCGGTCATCTATGCAGTAAAGTATATGGAATTTTAAAAGAATGCCCAAAACTCAGCGAAAAACTTTTTCCAACTTTTTTTTTCTTGCTTATTTAGGTTAAACTCAGTGTCGGAAGTCTTTTAGTCAAAGAAAAACATCGTTTTGTGAAAATAACATAAATGAATTAAGCCGACAAGTCTACTTTCTAGTAAATATGAGCCAATCAAACAAACTTGTAGAGCAGCCTCGTCAAACTGTTGATACTTCATCAAGTAATCAATAAACTCCTCCCGTCCTTGTGGATTGATTTTCATGTATCTAAAAAATGCAATGCAAAGAACCAACAATAGACTCAAACCTCTTAAAAACTCGAATTCCTGTATCCGGAATATCGTGTCCCTCAATGAATTGAATGTAGAGCGGCCAAATGCGCATGTGCTGAGTGACAGGTAACGCTAGAAATACCAGAATAAAAATAAAAATTTGAGCCAAACTCTTCAGCGCGCGATCAAAGACACGTCTTGTTTCGGTGACGAGCTGACGTTGTGTCATAATTGTACAGTATTGAATCCAGATACGTGGCATCTAAAGAAGGTACTTAACTAAAAAGCAAGTCTAAAAGCTGCACAAACCTTGGGCAATTGAACCAAACACCGTTCGTAGGCATCGCACAATTCTCCGTATGCCGGGTTTAATGGGCCCTTGCGGAAGATGTGTTTTCTCCAAAAGCGCAAATACTCGTACCACAGCTTATAACTTCGAGGAAAGACCTAAAAAGAGAAATTGGGTTGAGCTAGATCAATGTTCAAAGACTAGTCTTTGTGTTATTTTATTGTTATTCATTCAAAAAATTCTTACTTGAATAGCTCGCTCGTATAAAACGACGATTTTTCTCCATTTCAACTTTTGTTTTCTCATGTGACTGATGTAGTTCACCCATGGCATCAACGAGTTCGGATTTTGGAGGATGTGCTCTTCGTACTTTTGGAACTCGGGCTTCTAAAAGTTTAATTCTTTAAAAATCTTTCAAAAATTCAAACTCACGATGTTGACAACCATTTTGGCACCTTTATTCTCTTTGGAATCATCCATCGTTTCCTAAATTCATCCGTTTACAAACTTGAAAGTTTGAAAAGAAGAACACACAAAAAGAGGAGATACATAAGTTATTCAGAAAATATTGCTAACAACAAGTAAACCCAGTCGAATCAACAATATTTACAAATTCGACTCAAGAACAATAAAATTTTAGTAAACAAAAGTTTCAAATTAATTTTGTTTTCAATAATTTAAGGAACCCGGTCGCTAGCTCATCATTCGGTGTGTTCAATCGACAAATTTTATAGCCCCTAGATGGGATTGAATACAGAAAAATCGACGAAAACTCTCCCAATCCTGTGCAAATTTTGAAAGGTCCATAATCGACTGTGCTAAACTTTCCATTAAAAGCCAAATTCAATTCATTTGATGACATTTCGGGGATTTCTTGATCAAAACGAGTCACGGAGAGCACCAGAATCAACGTTGAAACCTCTTGCAGGCTGTACTGATCCAATTGATGAAGTTGATAGAATTTTGCGGCCTTTGGAGCTTTCAACATCATCGTTTTACACACTTTATTCTCCAAACCGTCGAATTGAGTGACCGGTTGCAGATCCAGCGCTATACTCACATGTTCTTCCTCAAAAATTCTCATCGTTTTCGCGGCAATAACAAGTACCACCGTCGAATTCGCTGGTATCACTTGTAATGGGCACAAATTTTCATCAAAAATACCCCATCGAGTGCTTTGCGGCGGTAACAAGCAGGCGGAAATCGTTCGCGAGTCGCTGGCCAGAGAAGTCACTTCAACGATCCAGCAAGTGTTCTCATCCATAGCAAGCGTTTGTTGTAAAGTGACGGTGAATTGCGGGCGATCCATTCGGAGATCTTCCCGTAGTTTGAAAACGTTGTTGATCAAATCAGTGTTCTCAATCTTTTTCGTTCCATCAATCACCACTTTTAGGATGGCCCTCTTTCGATTGAGATCCCGTCGCAGAGCCGCCAAGTCGTTCGTCCATTTCCCGGCTTCCATTCTGGTTCTGAATTCAAAGATACCAATCTAGTATGGTGACAAGTCAGCAAAATAAACAGAAAACGCAAATTGCTCTAGACTTATAGGCGTTGACACAACTTCTAATCATTCCATTTAAAATTTGGATTACCGAAGATTCGTAAACTTGTTCTAAGACAGAAAAAGGGGGAAATAAACCATAAACTTAAACTTGAAAACCATAAAACCAAAACCTTAAACTTGTGCTCAAAACGTAGTTGTTGTTTTATTTTGGACAACACCAGTTTTTTCTCGAGTTCAAAAAATTCGAATTTTCATGGGCAACCGCAGCATTGAGTCAAAGGGTTTTTTGGATCAACGTGGAGCCATAGCTTTGATTACGCGATTCAATTGAAAAGTTGCGCTTTTGAAAAAAACATTAGTTTCATTTGTAGAGCGCTTTTGAAAAAACATTTTGAAATTAGGAATAATTTCGTTAAACGAATATCTTATTCTTGCACTCTTTAAAAAAAAGTCTTTGGACTCTTTAAAAAGAAAAACCAAAACTTTTATTTTCCAAATTTCGCTTTTTGTCTCTTTAAATGGGTGTTTTCTCTCTTTCTTGGAATGGGTCTTTTTTACGTATTTTTAAAAAATTTTCACTTTTTTCAGACGATGTCCCATGGTTTCCGTCGGGATGTTGAAGCCAATCATTTCACTCCTCGAGAATATCAGGTGCATTTTTGTGGCTCGTGAAGTACAAAATGAGCTAGATAGGTAGAAGGCGAAAGTTTACTGATTTAATGTTTTCTAGACAAAAAAAATCCGAATCCGGATAACATGGTCCCGACGGTTTTCGTTTTTTTCGTTTTCGGTTTTCCTTTTTTTTATTTTGCCTTGGGGGACCAAGGCAAAAAGTTAAACCCTTTTTTTCAGTTTTTTTATTTTATACCGATTTTACTACCACCTAATTAATTTTTTTCTTCTAGGATGACAGACATTAGTGAGTTGTTTGATAATTTGCCAACTACGACGGCGCGCGTGCTAGCCAGTGATGCGCGGCCGGGAAGTGACCTGCGTCACTTCGTGTTTTTTTTAAAGGGGCTGGAAACTACGTGACGCGCAAAAAACGCACAGAAAAATATTACTCGACTGAGCTAGGCCGCTCTGCCCAACACAAAAACTTTGAGTTTTGTACTCAACATTTTTCAAAAAAGCAAAATATTTTTTTGTTTCCGGTGATCGGGACTATGTTATTCGGATTCAGCATGGTCGAAAACGCCCAGAAAAGTGTTTTCGAAAATTTTTTGTGGGGGTGGGGGGTAGACTGCACTCTTACCAAACCGGGTATAAATAACGCTTTGAACCTTTTTATTGCTTCAATTTTAGATCGAACTCCTCGAAGTCGCCACCAAAAGGAACACCATTGTGCAACTTGGGACCGGGTCGGGGAAAACCCTAATTGCCATTTTACTCATCAAGGCAAGTTTAAACTTTTAGCAAACTTTTTAGAATTCTTTGGTAAGAGTATAGTTTCTCCCCCCACCAAATCAACTTGAAAATACATTTTTTGGGGGGTAATTTTGCGCGTAGATGCCGAATTTCAACATCCCGTTTTGAGTTTTTCAACATTTCGTTGAAAAACTCAAAACCCGGCTCTGGGATGTTGAAATTCGGCATGTACGCGCAAAATTACGCTAGAAAAATGTATTTACAAGTTGGTTTGGTGGAGGAGAAACTATACTTGAGCCAGACTATACTCACCTAAAATGGTTAGGGTCTTTACAATGTCTATTCAGGAATACGGCACGCAAGTGTTCACGTCAATTGCCAACGGAGGGAAGCGAATTTTCTTTCTTGTTCAAAATGGTGAGTTAAATACAAGATTTTCCGACTACTTTTACAAAGTTTCTCGTACATTTTTTCATTTTAGTCAGTCTCGTGCAGCAACAAGCCGAACAAATCTCGATTCACACAAGTATGAACGTGGGACTTTTGCACGGATCGCTAAACACGAACACGACGACCGACATCAACAAATGGAACAAATACATCGATGAGCATCATGTAAGTTTTGATATGACCAAATTGATGGCAAACACTCTGCATCGGACAAACAAATTTATATGGACCACTCCAGGCACGCAAAAACACATTTATTGAGCGGAAAAGTTAGAAAGACGGATGAGGAGAGATAAAAAGAAAACGTTTTACTCTCATGCGAATTGGGATTAACGATGGAGAAATGAGATTGCTTTGATGAGGTGAAAATCTCTCCTCAGAATTGATCCTTTTCCACCATCTCATTTCTTGTAGGCGTACATCTTCTGGTAGGTGGTGGGCTTCTAAAAGGAGGGGAAATTGTACAAGTTGAACAGTTTAATGTATCTATGACAGTTAAAAGCAAAGAGTCAATCGTATTTTAAAAGAAAGTTCAAATCTTTACCTTGTACTCGATCTTCTTGGGTGAAGTGGTTGGAAGCGGAGGAGCAGGAGTTGCCTGAAAAGGAAAAATTTTAACAAGACATTGAAAATGTAACGTGACCAATCAAAATTTTTAGCTTAACTTCAAAATATTCAATCGAGGTTACTAGCCAGCGTCTAGCTATTTAAAGTTACTGAGGCTTTTAAGCCTCTTCTCTTATTTCAGTTCCGCACCTTTAAACCCAGTGGAAATAGTGCCCCTCTTGAAGGCTCGGAAATGTTGCTCAAACTGGGATAAAAGTTGTTCGGGATGGCTTAGAAATGATTTTAATGGATTCATCGCAATTGACTATAGCAAAAGTTTTTAAAGCTCGTTAAAAGTTCGAAAAAACCAGTGTTTACCTTGCACTCGAACTTCTTGGGTGAAGTGGTTGGAGGTGGTGGCGGTGGAGGAGCAGGAGTCGCCTGAAAAGGAGAAATTTGTACAAGACATTGAAGATGCAAAGTTACCAATAGCTCAAAAGGTTAAATACTGAAATTTTAAGACTACAAACGAAATAAAATGGTGAGAAGCACCACAGATTTTAAAAACATAACAAAGCAATACCTTTTTGTTGGGCGCTCCACCAAAAAGCTCATCATCGATGTCGATGTCCAAATCGGCCGGATTGTTTCCACATCCCACGCCGACGGGCACGAAAGCGCTCTTGTCTGCCATTTCCTTGTTGAGATCGGTCCACGCGATAGTCGATGAAGAAGAGAAATGATGATTAGGGATGGATTGGATTTCTTTTATTCGACGGATAAATGGAAATCTTCTGGAAATGAAATGAAAATTTTGGTTCGCATGCAAATAGATGTATTCAAATTCTAGAATTGAATGATATGGAAAACAGTCAAAATGTGCATACCTAGGTAGATTAAAAGTTGATTTAAAATTTAAAACCCCGATAAATTGCTTTAATTTTAGGTCATCGTGCTGACGGCTCAAGTTTTTCTCGATTTGATCGATCATGCTTTCTACGATCCGACGAATGCCGCCCTGTTGATCTTCGATGAATGCCATCATTGTATGGGCTCAAAGCACGCGTATCGTTTGATCATGGATCGAGTGAGGAAATTGGACAAAAGTATGTTGTTATTTTGCTTAAAGTACCTTGTTGCTGGAAATGCTGAAATAACAATTACATATCACATTTAGCGAATCGTCCACGAATCCTCGGATTAACCGCCTCATTGATCAACAATAAAACGAGTCCCGAGAATTTGGAGCGAGATATCGTCAAATTGGAAATGATCTTGGATGCGACTGTGGCCACGGCGAGTGATCTGGCAGCGGTACACTTTTGACTCATAATCTTATTTTATGTTTCTTAGACTTCAAAATACGGAGCGAAACCAACAGAGGTAATGGTGAACTGTAGGAATTCAATCGAGGCCGGAACCACCAAGTCGATTAGCATACTTTTGGTGAGTTGTTGGGTGTTTTATGAACTATTCAACAGTCACTGTTAAAGTATTCTTTGGGTGCTATACGGGTCGGGGGGACCCAAAATTTTTATGCTAATTTCACTTTTTGTTTTTTTGCTAATTTTTGTTTCCGGTTATGTTCTACATCACAAAATTGCTTGTTTTCTTTTAGATAACAACATTTATGAATTAAAATTAGCATGATCAACAACAATACAACAAGACAACTTAAGTCAGAGGATAACGATCAGCAACAAGCTCCCAGAACTCATCAAGCTTTGAGTATTATGCTGCCACTTCCACAAGGCTTCATAGTATTGATGAAAGTTTTTAAAAAATTGAATAGCTATTGCAAAATAGCAAAAATTAGCATATAAAATTTTTGGGTTCCCCCGACCTGTGAACAGTAAGCGATCTGATTTTAAATAATATAGAATTAAATCAGAAAAAGTGCACTTTTTAGGAAAGAGTCCTCGTCTTTTGCCAAGGTTACAACGGTTTTCAAGTCGATCTCGATGTGGACCCAAGAAAGTACATAAGAGAAACGATCAACCGGACGCTTTGTGTGCTACGACAATGTGGCCAGTGGTGTACATGGAAGGTAATCTTACCTCTGGGACAATAAAATCTCTTGCCATTTCTAGGTCGTTCAATTTTTGGTCAAAGAGCTAACCAAGCAAATGAAACTGCCGCATGTTCCCGAGAAAACACAAGATTTTCTTCGAATTGCTGAAACAGCTTTAATCACCGTGCGAAGATTGTTGGAACCAAAGGTAAAGTTATCAATTTTTTTTTAAATTTTAAAGTGTATTTTAGTTAAAAGCTATCAAGTTGACGGACGAATTGAAAGACTTTTTGACACCAAGATTGAATAAATTACTGGAACTTTTGTTGGCGTTCAATCCGGAGGAAACTGGGAAACCTTTGAGCGGGATTGTTTTTGTCGATCAACGGATGATTGCGTATGCGTTGAAGGTAAGAGATTTCAAATTCTTATTGAATAAATCTGATTTCTTATAGACCTTGCTCAAGCACCTCGCCAGATTTGACCAAAAGAATTTCGGATTCCTCAAAGTGGATTTCATTGTCGGCTATTCATCATCATTCTCTATCGATCAAACCGAGTCTCAAGCGTTGCAGAAGCGTCAAATTGAGGTAAATATTATTAGAATATTAGAGGTAATATTAGAAGTTCTAACCTCTATCTAGTGCCTACGGAAATTTCACCGAAACGAACTCAACTTGATCATTGCGACGAATGTGCTGGAAGAGGGAGTAGATGTTCGACAATGCAATCTTGTTGTGAAATTTGATCGACCGATCGAATTTCGATCATATGTTCAAGTAAGTATTACAAACCAATACGGATCTTTTTCTTTTAGTCGCGAGGTCGAGCGAGGAAACCAGGCTCCCATTACGTTATCATGTGTGAAGAAAGCCAGGTGTCCGATTGTATGCGCGATTTGAAAGATTTTCGAGCTATCGAAAAGGTAAAGTTTATGTTTGATTACTAAAACAACACGCAAATTTAGTTACTTCTAGCGAGATACTGCAGTGTTCACAATCCGACTGGTCAGGAAGAGCTTTTGAGTGACGTTGATGATGTTAGACCGCCGTATGTTGTGCCGACAACGGGAGCAAAAGTGGCATTGAGTGGAGCGATTGCTTTGCTAAATCGGTATGTTCAAGCGCCCTACTAAAACAATAGCTTTATTTTCTCAGGTATTGTGCATCTCTACCATCAGATATCTTCACTCGCCTTGTCCCTGAAAACAAGCTCATCCCGGTGACCGTGAATGGATTCATGCGGTACCAAGCCGAACTATATTTGCCCATCAACTCGCCCATTAAGGAGGTAATCCCAAGGAAAGTACAAAATGTGTAATCATCGGTGTTTCTAGATCATTCGGCTGTCGGATCCATGTGATTCAAAGAAAATGGCACAAATGATGATCGCCTTAAAAGTTTGTTAAAAGTTTTTCACATATTTTTTCTTTCTTTTCTTTAGGCTTGCGAAATCTTACACAGAAAGGGGGAGCTAAACGACTACCTGTTGCCACAAGGAAAAGACACTGTTGCAAAGTTGATGAGTCAACTGGATGAGGGTAATGTTTGTATAACATACATGGCAATATAATACAATAATTAAGGACATGTAGTAAGAAAGTTTGAATACTAATGAGTATATTTTCAGATCCTGATGAATGTATCCCCGGTCTAGCCGCCAGAGTTGGTTCCTCGAAACGAAAGCAACTCTACGATAAACGAGTGAGCACTCAAGAACAAAAGAAACCTGACGTTTTAATATTAAATTTATAGGTGGCAAAAGTTCTAAACCGAGCTCTACCCAAGAAGAACGCTGACAACTACGTGTATGTGCTCGAAATGGAGCTTATCAAAGAGCCAAGTCTGGAAAGCAATCCAAAAGTAAAGATTTGGCTTAGAATTAAGAATTAGTTTTTTTATTAATGGCGATATGTGCAACTAAAAAGTTGGTTCAATAATTTTCCAATTTTAGGGTCGAAAGTTTCAAGATCCTCAACAAATGGCCTGTTGCTTTGGATTTCTCTCCTCGATTATCCTGCCACCGGTGAGAGAATATTTTTAAGAATACTGTTTGTTAATTTACCTTAATTTCTTTTAAGTTACGTATATCTGTGCTTTAGATCCCACCCTTCCCGGCCTATCTTCGACAGGGTGATATGCGTGTCTATGTTCGTCGAGCCAGTAACATGGTCTGTCTCAACGAGCACACTCTACAGATGCTTATTCAGTTCCACGACTACGTTTTCAAGTAGGACTTAAATGTACTATTTGTAGAATAGCAAAAACTTTTATGCTAATTAGCCGGTTTCAAAAAAATGCAACCTTAATCTTTCAGGAACGTGCTCCTCCTCAAAGACAATCTACAACTCTCATTGTCTGAATTTTCTGCGATGAATACATTGATCGTTCCATTGAAAAGAAGTATGCGAGTTCTTTTAAGACCGTTGAAATTTTTGCTTTAGTCCCTCAGGAGAATGGAAACATCGATTATGAGATCAACATGCGTTACGTGACCGAACTTGTTCAGGTAAAATCATTATACTGAATCAAATTCATCAAAATTTAGTGCAAGGGTAATCTGCCACGTGTACCTGATCCAGAAGAGCGCAAGGATTACAAGTTCAGGAAAGAAGATTATCTGTAAGAAAAATTCTTTTTGGCTAAAAATTCTCTTTTTAGTGACGCCGTTGTGATGCCCTGGTATCGAAGTATGGAACAACCGACTTTCTACTATGTGGCCGAGGTTTAAACCGGGTACATTAGCTGATTTGTTTGGTGTTTTAGATTTTGGAAAGTATGAACCCGAATTCTCCGTTTCCCGATAATGCTTTTGGATCGTTCAACGAGTATTTTGAGAAGAAGTACAACATTCAGATTTATGACCAAGAACAAGCACTTCTCGACGTCGATTACACAAGCAAGTGAGTATACTAATTAGCATTGAGTTTTAAATGTTTGTTATAAATCAAATGCAATGTAAGTCTATTATTTTAGTCGATTGAATCTCCTGCTGCCTCGACCGCGAAGCTCTAGACGTCCCGTGAAAACGAGTGATTTAGTGCAGGTAGCTGCTTTAGTAGCTTGAAAGAAAAGCCTCTTTTTCAAGTAATTTGCCATCATGATCAACTAAAAAGCTCCATTTAGCGTCAAATTCTCGTGCCCGAATTGATGGATCGGCACCCAATAGCAGCGCATTTGTGGAACACGATTTGCTCTTTACCATGCTTATTCTATAGGTGCAAGAAGCTGTGTGATATTTAACAAGATTTTTATAGAATCAACCAACTCCTACTTGCCGATGAGCTTCGAGAAAGGATCTGCCGAGAAGCGTTGCACATTTCTGAAACTGTACCTGAAGATTTTCACTGGAATCCCCTCACTTACCCGAGCACTTATGTAAATCAATCAATTTTCTTTTTAAAGATAAATGATTTTAGGAGGAAAAACAAAGCTTGATTGTGGCAAAAATTCAACAGTTGCGCAAAGAGAACAAATGTTTGGAAGGGACTTCAGAGATTTTACCAACAGGAGAGAATCCGGTAGTAGAACAAGTGGTTATTGGGAATCCCAATCAATTTAGGGTTTCGAGATAGGCGTCTGGGATCCTGAGCTGGGGAGCGGTTTGGTTTGGCGAGAGACAGATTTAGTCGGTGGACAAACGGCGATCAGTCAACCGCTTCACATCGATGCCGATGTGGAGAGGGATCCTGATACGGTAAACTTTTAAACGAAAAAAATATTCCTTGGAGATTTGTACGCTGATTCAAAAGTCATATACTTCTGCTAACTCATTTTCTTGTATTTAGCTTGGACTCATGAAACCCTACGCTGCCTCTTCTGGAGATCTATCAGATGATGAGGAGAATGACGCCATCATCTTTTTGGATTCTCGCAAATTTTCATCAAAAGTCAAGGGTTTGTTTTGTTATAGGAAAGTTAAATTTCAAAACTCCATAGAAGTAATTGTGTAAGAAAACAGTCTGGATGAGTGCTTTGTCTCAAACATAAAAGTTTTTAGATAACAACATCGATGATTTCGCGAATCCCCGTCAAGAGGTGATCGCTTCAATGGGCAATGAAAACTGGGATAATTGGAACGTTGAGATCCCGACGACAAATAATTTGCCGTTTGTAAGTTAATTCGATCTAAAGCCACAACTCTATCATTACCACAAGTTTCGCAATCAAATATTCTCCAGGAAATCCTCCCCTTCTCTGATAATAACTTCGATTTGAACGGTTTGAATGCGGATGTTCAGGTAAGACAGTACTGCATTACTTTTTCAAATGTCTATTCAGAAACTGGTGATGAATGAGCCGAATTTTTTGTCGTATGCAATACCCGAGCTGAAAAATGATGGTCAAAAGGCTGTAGCAAAGTCTACTATCAATGGAAAGGTGGGAAATTGCAGATACAGTTCAGTTTAGACAATACATACGCACAGCATTGCTCATTTTTGTTTGTTTAGACTCGAACCCCCCTTCAATTCGACGGTGTTGACGGCAAAGAAGATTTCGAGAAGCGTCGGAAACAGGAAGACACAGTGAACCTAATCGATTTCGATGACGGAGTTGAAAATGGTATGTTTATGTGAGGCTTCTGTTAAGGTATCCCTTGCAGGAGCTTGCACAAGTCTTTTGCAATTATCAATCAAAATATCTCGTACTAATTGATTTATCCTTAACTTAAATTTGCTCTTTAGATTTGATTGGAATGTCCAAATACCGCGAGTTCAAATGGGAAGATGAGTTGCAAGCGTTGATGAGTGGCGAGGAACAGAAAAATATGAAAGACGAACAGATTCTGAAAGCGATTGCACCTGATGTGTCGATAAAGGTTTTTTAACAATTTTTCAATTAAAAGGTTCAATTTGCATTTTATCTGAATTTTTTAGGATCATCCTGTCACCGCACCAAAGACCGACTCGTCGTTTACTTTCATCTCGGCCTCGCCGGCGACCTCGGGAACTTCGCTAGTGACCAGCACTTCGAACTCTTTGGTAGGTTTTGGGTTTTACGAGCTTTATGATCTTGATGGCTCTTTAATTGGTTGCGTTTAGATTGACATTGATGTGGCACCCTCATCCTCGCAAACACACCTTGCTGGGCGGCCGTGGCCTCGAGCTACAGCTTATGATGGAAGGTTTGTTTAATCATTTAAACGCTGAAAGATAAATAGAAATTTACTACACTATGTTTCTTAGTAAAATAATTATCTGTACCTTTCTTTCTATCATATGTTTTTAGATACGGTGTGTCTCCGTGCCTTCTCCTTCAAGCCCTCACGACCAGCAATGCAAATGATGGTTTGCTTTGGAAAAAGTTTTTTTTATTATGATTTTTAGGCATCAACCTCGAGCGACTTGAAACGATTGGCGACTCGTTTTTGAAATACGCGGTCACCGATTTCCTCTATCACACCCATTGGGATCAACACGAAGGAAAACTTTCGTTTGCCAGGAGCAAAGAGGTAACGTTTTGGTAGTAGAATTGAATAAATTAATTTCTCGGATACTTTTTGTCCTTTTAGGTGTCCAATTGTAACCTCTACCATCTCGGTAGACGCCTCGATCTGCCGTCGCTCATCGTCGGCTACAAATTTGATGTGCAAGATGCGTGGTTACCTCCCTGGTGAGATATTCTATTGGGAAGATATCAATGACATAATTTAGTTACGTGCCGAATAGTGATTTCAAAGCACCAAATTCTGAGTTTGCCGAAGAAGAAGATCGCCTAATGGAATCAGTGCTTGCTGGTGTGAGTGATGCGGCTACAAAAGATGTGAGTTTGAAAACTTCCAAATTAACGATAGTGCATAAAACAAGTTTTTTTTAAGCCTAGCAACTTAATTTTTAGGTGAAATCAACAACAGGATGGGACGCTGACGATGGGAACAATGCGATCACGACTGTCGTTAATGGAGTTGAAGTGACAAATTTCCCGAAGGTGACCTGTCTATCTGTCTTGTTTTTTATGGCTAATATCAAACTATTTTAGATCAATGCAGCGAATGAGGCTCTGATGAACGAATTGGCTCCGCTTCCCTTCAATATGTTGACGCAACAACAAATGAGCGACAAGAGTATCGCCGACTCGGTGGAGGCGTTGATTGGAGCGCATTTGTTGAGTCTTGGACCCGAGAAAACACTATTGGTGGGGTTTTAAGGTTGATAAAGCTTTAGTCTTATAGGGAAATATCCAGCAAAGAATGTTTATCAATTACCCACGTTTTAGGTCATGAAATGGTTGGGAATCAAGGTGCTTACCGAGCCTCCCAAGTTAACCTCACCGCTATTGAGGTATTTTTCTTGTAGCTCGCTCCTCAACTTTGAAATTTTAGGATGATTGACACAATGGAGAATCCGACACGATCATCACACCAGCTTTCCGAGTTCTGGGTCTCGTTCCAATTGAGCAAAGTCGAGGAGACGATTGGTTATCAGTTTAAGGTAAGATTAGCAGCAAAAGTGACTACGACAACTATTGTAATCTCAAACATTAAAATCTTTGGATCGTCATGTTGTTAATAGATTTGCATACTGGTGAATAAAACCGTTTTCAGGACAAAGCCTACCTTCTCCAAGCGTTCACCCATGTGTCCTTCTTCAGAAATCGTATTACTGGATGCTATCAGGTTTGCATGTTTAAGAAAATAAAGAAGTAGCATTTGGTAAACTTGCTTCTTTGTTACACAAATTTATTCAATTTTTTAGAGACTCGAGTTCTTGGGAGATGCTGTACTTGACTACATGATCACGCGATTTCTCTATGAACATGAGCGACAATATAGGTAAAGTTTGCAAGTACACTATAAAGAAGATCTAGATCTTTGCCTAGGTTTGTATAAATCATACACTTAATTATAAACCTTGATTTTAAAACTACTACCCATGTTTTTGTTTAGCCCGGGTGTTCTGACAGATCTCCGCTCCGCTTTGGTAAACAATACGATCTTTGCGTCCTTAGCAATAAAATATGGCTTTCATAAGGTATATATAAATTACTGCGGTTGATCTTAACAACGTTCAGCATTTTGTTGCGATTTGCCCTGGTCTTCATCAAATGATCGAGAAATTTGTGAAACTTTGCCGCGAGAAGAACTTCTTCGATGCCAATTTTAATGCCGAGGTTAGGTTTTTAGTTTTTGTTTAAATTAATCTGACATTTAGATGTACATGGTAACGACAGAAGAAGAATACGATGAGGGACAAGAGGAGGATATCGAGGTGCCAAAAGCGATGAGTGACATCTTTGAGAGTTTGGCGGGAGCTGTTTACTTGGTGCGTTTTGAGGTTTAAAGCTTTTTGTTGTGTTAAAACTTACAGAGTCTACTGTAGCTTTTGTAACATGGATTTTTTCAGGACTCGGGTCGAGATCTCGACATTGTGTGGCGTGTTTTCTACGGATTGATGAAGAACACGATTGACGAGTGTTGCCGAAACCCGCCGAGAAGCCCAATCAGAGAGTTACTCGAGTTGGAGCCCGGGCATACGAGATTCAGGTATGGACTTTGGAGAATTAAAATAATGGACATAATGATGTAAAACTAACTCTATCAATTATTATATTATAAAATTCTTTTGATTTCCCACTTTTACAGTAAAATGGAGCGAATCATCGAGACTGGCAAGGCTCGTGTGACCGTCGAGGTGAACAAGGGAGGATCAGGTTTATTTAATGATTCTACACATCTTATCCTTCTTATCCTAAAACTTGTTTGTTAATTAAATTTAAAATTAGGACCGATTCGATTCACCGGAATGGCCAGAAATTATCGAATTGCAAAAGCGACTGCTGCGAAGAGGGCTCTCAAGTGGGCTATTAATTTGATATTATAGCTAAAGTAAAGTGAACTAAGGATTTTCAGATCGGGTTAATTGAGTTACAATTAACCATTTATCATTTCATTTTTAGATATCTGAAGTCTCTGGAGGAACAAAAGCTGCGCTCGAAAAAACCGACGGGATTGGTGTCCGCGTGAAATTAATTGCATTTTTTACATATTATGGGTATTTTAGACTTTTTTCCTTAATTAAGCGTCAAGTTATGATTATACTCATTTCTATTTATCGCCATTGTAATAATTGTAATATGTGAATGTAATCTTATTTAGCTTTATGATAAATGAATGATTGTCTAAAGGTGAAAAGGTGGGTAACTAAACTAAAACTGAAAAATTTCAGCTATTCTGTCATCCAAAAATGATAGTTCACCTCATTTTTCTCAAATTTTACTAGAAGTTTGACAAAATTCCCCATCTTTTAACCGTTCCACTGATTTTCGTCTCCCCAAAAATTTGCGCAAAAATTTTGTCGGCGGCTAAAACGAAAGCGGTCAAGAAAGCGAGGCGAAAGTGGGAAAAAAGCGCTTTCGATGGGAAAAAGGAGAACGAATGGGTGCTTCATTTTTCTCTCTTTTAGAAAAAAGTATTCACTCTAACAGCTCTTTTAACTAGTAAAACAAAAATATTTTCTGGGGTGGACGTGAGACTGAGACTTTGATATAAAAGGAGGCAAGGGATGAGCAGAAATCGTCCCTTCTCAAAGGTCCACAAATATTTGGTGGGTTTTCAAAGTTTTCTTTTAGAGTTGTAAGACTTAGCTTTGATTAATTTCTAGCCATTCTTTAGCCAAGGATGACTGTAGCAGCTGTACTTCTATGAATTTCAAAAATTTCAGAAATGGACGAGAAGAAATCACTCGGAAACTCATCTGCTCGCACCTCGGCGTTCACCTCGATCGTGCTCGCCACAGTCGCCATTACGGCTTGCTTGGTTAGTTTATTGTAGCTGATTTACTGTAGGATTACTGTAAGATTACAGTAGGATTACAGTAGGATTACTGTAGGATTACTGTAGTTTCTAATAATCCTGTAAAAAATCCTATAAATCAATTTCCAGGTCACCATTCCATTGGTGTTCAGCTATGTGCAGACCCTAGAGTCATCGATCCACGCTGAGGTCGAGAGCTGCAAGACCCGTGCTCGTGACCTTTGGAGAGAGATGCTCGAGGTTCAAGTGAGTGATAGTTTCTATGTTTTGCAAATTATATCATAACAATATTCGATATTTATTTGAATCTGAATACAGATTTAATATTCAATCAAATTCTAGGTCGGAGCTGGACGCCCAGTGGCCGCTCGTGTCGCTCGCTCGGCTGTGATGACTCCTGAGCTCGCTGAGAATGTTGAGCGTGCCAAGTGAGTGAAAAGTTTGAATAGTATACTATTTAATGATTAAATATAGTATTGAAAATTGAATTTTAGGAGACAATGGTGGCAACAACAGCAAGGAGGTGGCGGCAGTTGCTGCACTTGCCAACGCGGAGCTCCCGGACCACCAGGAGTGCCCGGAAATGATGGAGCTGATGGAGTTGATGGAGATATTGGAGAGGTGGATAATATAGATAGATAGAATTTCTAGATCTAGCTACAGTTATACCTAAGGCATTTTTGAAGCTAGAACCGTTTCTAGTTTCTTTTTGAAGCCAGGATAGGGGTCTCAGAGCTCGAGATAGATAAATCTAGGATACTAGATATAATATATTTAGGATAGATCTAAATATTTATAGCTAGATAGAAACAATTATTCAAATCCCTTTTCAGAATGGAAACCCAGGAGCCCCCGCTTACACCAACCCCGACTATGGCCGCCCACGTCCACAATGCGGATGCGAGTCGCCATCCGGACCCGCTGTGAGTTTTTGAGAATAAAGAGCTCGGCGTATTGTAATGGCAGTGAGCTTTAGAGGCTGAAAAGGGTACTGTAAACGCAGAACTTTATAGAATCTCAAAGCTACGGGATACTGTATCTAGAAGTGTCCGATAGACTCTAAAATTGGATACTGTAAATAGAAGTGTCTTCCTATAGACTCTAAAAATAGATACTATAGTGGTTTGTACCGTATAGAATCTAAAGAGCGATACTGTAACGCTAATACCTTTAGAACCTAGTAAGGACTATACTGTAGCACCTAATATTATCTAATATTAACAAATAAGGATACTGTAGCATGGTTGATATTATTGGGATACTGTAGCCTAAAAGGGATACTGTGATGCCCTGAGGTTACTGTAATATAACTAAACTAAAGTATATCGAAATTTTCTAGGGAGCCCCCGGAAACCGTGGACAACCCGGAGGCCCTGGAGCCCCTGGACGCCCAGGATCAGGCGGCGGCATGGGAGCCCCTGGAAGACCCGGAGCCGATGGACACCCAGGAGCCCCTGGAAACCCTGGAAGACCTGGAAGCCCTGGAGCCCCTGGACAAGTCACTGGAACGAGCCAAGGAGCACCTGGAGAGGCTGGAAGACCCGGAGCCCCAGGAAACCCCGGACCCAAGGGACCACCCGGATTCCCCGGAGACAGCGGAGCACCCGGAAGAAATGGAGAGCCAGGAGCCGACGGAGCACCCGGAAGACCTGGAGAGCCCGGACGCGATGGACAACCTGTAAGTGGATATAGAGAGATTGATAGTACTGTAATCTTAGATTAGATTGATATTACTAGACATAGACAGACTTGCATAAGATGGAGAAATGGGTAGTAGTTGGTTTGACCTGAATACAGAATATTCTACCTGGTCTACAGTACTTGACAGCAGCTAGACATTGCTAGGTACTGTAGGCCTTACAGCAATTGGCTGATTACAGTATAGCGTTAGTACAGTTGGCTAGAGATTGACTCAAGCTATTCTATCTGTTCTAGCTGTACTACAGGTGCATAGAGTACTACAGTACTTTGCAGTACGAACTGTACTGGATTGCAGTGTACTGCAAAGATATCTATGACAAAACTGTAGGAATTGAGATGGTTTGACTTTGAGTTCGATTACAATACTTGCAAAACTAAAATTGAATCTAATCCATCTGCCGAGCACTGTACGGTATGCCATATGGAATACTGTAGTCTAGTATAGTTCAATACTGTACTGCAAAAGTCTTGAGTAATACTTGGGATAAGATAAGACTCAACCTAGGCTACCTCTTGCTACCGTACTGAATATTCTTACCTCTTAATATACCGTATTGAGTATTCTTAATATACATAGATTTGTACCCAATATAAAAATCAACTTCCCAGGGACAACCCGGACGTCCCGGAGACCGTGGAGACTGCTCGCACTGCCCTCCAGCTCGTGTGGCTCCCGGTTACTAAACCGTTCATCCAGTTCACTCTTTTTCGCCTCCACCAACAATCTTTTCAACACCATTTTGATTGGGTCGAGTGCAGTAAATATTTGCAGCAATGTTTCGGTTTCGAAAATACACATAAAACAAAATTGGCGTCGAAATCGACGATTAAGGCCGAATCGTTTCCGAAAGCGTTTCCCTTTCTGTCAATCCGGGACCCAGATAGAACATCATCATCTAAAAGACGCCTAACAACAGAGCCTAAATCCATTTCGTCTAAAAGATGCTTTGCCTAAAAGATGCTTTGCCTAAAAGATGCTTTGCCTAAAAGATGCTTTGCCTAAAAGACGTTTTGCCTAAAAGACGTTTTGCCTAAAAGACGTTTTGCCTAA